TGCACAGTTTAGCTCCAACCCTAATTAAACACACCTGAACCAGCTAATCAAGCTCTTACTAGGCATAGAAACTTCCAGTCAGGTGTGTTGAGGCAAGTTGGAGCTAAACTCTGCAGAGCTGTGGCCCTCCAGGAATTGAGTTTGAGACCACTGTTTTAGAGTGTTTGCTTCTCTGCAATACGTCTACAGGACTTTTCATATCAGATGTTAAATAGATGTTTATTAGATGTCTTTAAGATGTTTTAAGATTTAGAAAGTATGTAAAACTGACATCTTACAGATGTCTGTCAGATGTTTGTACACAGCAGATGCTTTCCAGATCAAGCGATCTTTAACAGACATCTGGCAGACATCCGTGTGCTATCTGGGATATTATCAAACCACTGTGGCCAGTTTCGGAAAGAAGAGTGAGAAACCCTCCTCCAACATCTCTGAAGCAAATGGCAGATGTTCTGATAGATGACATTTTACTGGAGACTTTTTCACAAGTTGTATGTATCTATTCTAAGAAGGTAGGAAGCTGTATTAAATCCAAATGGTGGTGAAATACCTTAATAAAAAATATTGGTGTTCACATTATTTTGCCCAACCCCTGTGTGACAGTCTTAAAACAATACATATTTAGTTTGGTTTATGCCATTGTAGCCAGCTTATTTCATTAGCAGAGCATGGCTGTTGGAGCAGAGGTGTTGTGGGATTAAAATGAGATGAGTGCCTGATCAAAGTGTCCGTCGCTTTCCTGACCGCTGCGTTTCCGCTTGCCTGGATCTCTTAATTGCTTGAAGTCTCGAGACTTGCTGCTTTGGTTTAGCCACGTCACTGCACATTAGAGCCGCACAACTGAATCCAAACATGCCATCTGCTCGTTCCATCTTCTGTCTGTTCTTGGAACGAAAGTGGCTCACCTTGATGAGAGTCAGCCAAGTAGAGTCCACATCCAAACATGCTCCCTGATTATCATCAAGCTCCATTATGTTTTGTTGGACTTTGTTATTGATTTGCTCAAAGTGTGGGTTCCATGCTTACCTTCTTATTCAGCAGGCTATCACAGTCAGGGCTGGAGCTAGATGCCTGCTAATGCCTCTGTGACCATGTTGCGCACATCCCTGCCAGCCATCTGGTGCTTACTGCAATCATGTATCCTTAAAGAAACTGCAATGCACAGAGAAATCTCTACATCTTATAAAAAATAGGCACTTGTAAACTTGCATAAGAGAATTACATTTTTGGTTAAGAGCACTGTAAAGATATTTATTTGATAAGTAAATTTACTCAGCATGTACATGAATCTTACCTTTATTATACATTTTTAAATCAATTATGGACAAACGACGCAAGAACATTACAGTCATATTAAAACCAATGTCCCCTCAGGTTATTTTCACAACAAACAAAAACTAAAACCACTAAAATAATTTTTGTGAATTAAAATAAAGCAATAAAAAGTATTTGATGAAAAACAAATATTTTACATTTTAAGTTATAAAAAATGTTAAAATTAAACAAATGAAATGTGACTTAAATTACAAAATTACAATTACTAAAAACAAAAATGAACACAGAAAATATAAAAAAATAAAAGCCAAAATTCAAAATATTAATTAATACTCTTATAGTATATAAAAATACTTTGCTTAATACTGAAAAAAAATACTGCTTAAGGTGGCACCAGTTGCATTTCTTATGAAACAGTAATGCCATTACTGTGAACAATTTAGGCACACACAAATGGGTCGGCAGTAGGGGATATTGTATTGTATATAAAATATAATAATTATAATATATTAAATATATGAAAAAGTTTTTTATTTAACTTTTTCGTATTGGCATGTTGTTAACATAACGATATTAGATTTAATAAGCTAGCAAGCTAACAGGCTAGTGGTATGCTAAGATAGTATGCTGAGCATTAAAGCGACCTTGAGCTACGGAAAGATGCTATATAAATAAAATGTCTTCTAAAGCATGAGCAATATTGAGATATAATATTGAGAAATATGAGCAAAAGGAACCAGTTGGTCATAGCATCTGATCTGGTCTTTATACAGCGTTGTCATGCACAAATAGCATCAATATTTTTTCGGAAGGAAAAAAATATTAGTAGGCACCACTTGTCTTTTGAGTGTGTAAATTCATTATTTTATGCTAAACATAAGACTTTCTGTAAGGGGTGTGTAAACTTAAGAGCACACAACTGTAACTGGTGAAACCCTCCTATATTATTGTTTTCTATGTATGTGTATTTTTTATAAGACAGGTTCTGTTCATCTGTCGCAGAAGTCGTCCGCTGGAAAACGTCTTGCCGGAAACATGAAAGGGCATGCAGAGCATGTGAGGCCTGAAAGCTGCAACAGAAAACAAATCAATGGCTGTAAAAGTGTCACCTAGATTGACAGTGAGCTCTGTTTACTACAGAGCGTGCGTCATGTGCTCAAGAACAGGAACCATGGCAGAACAGAGCCCATGGACAGGGAACAAAGCCAAAGTGGATTTTATTAAATTGCTCGTCACTGAATGAAAACACCTGTTTAAGACAATCTGTTCCCAGGATGCCTGTTGCTGCTGTTGTCAACACTGAAAAGTAACACTTGAATCCGAGGCTTTTTTATGTGCTGAAAAGTTGACGCGACAAGTTTAAATGCTCCTTTTTGTTATTCAGCTATGGTGGGATGAAGAAAGGGATGTTCTTTCAATGCTCTGACAGTACTGTGAAACTAAAAAAAAGGACTTAAGATACTTCAATACTTCATTCTTTGAAAGGGGAAAAAGTAAGACTTAAAAAAAAAAAACTGATTGATTTTTAATGCAAAAGGATGAATGCAAAGTAATTCTATTTAACATTCACATAACTGCAAATTGTTGTTAGTTTCAATAAAAACCTAAGAATACAGTGACATGTGTATATACACACCTGACAGTACTGTGAAACTAAAAAAAAGGACTTAAGATACTTCATTCTTTGAAAGGGGAAAAAGTAAGACTTTAAATAAAAAAAAAACAGATTGATTTTTAATGCAAAAGGATGAATGCAAAGTAATTCTATTTAACATTCACATAACTGCAAATTGTTAGTTTCAATAAAAACCTAATAATAAGGACATGAAAGGCAGAATAAAGAATATATACACCGAAACTTCACTACTAAGGGAAGTGCGATATTCAATAAATGTATTATATGAATTACACGTATATATAGCCTATATTATATTATTCAGTTTGAATGGAAAATAGACCAAGAATGAAATGAAAAAGATATTTTAATATATACAATATAAATAAAATATTGAATATATCTCCTTTATATTATTATATTTGTCATTTTTTTGTTTTGTTTTTGTAATACATTTAAAATAGTATTATTGCTAAGCCTAAAAAGAACTGGTTTGGAACTATTCAAAGTAAACATGAATAAATAACTTCTCAAACTAAAAGTGACACGAACAGCATACAATTCAATTCTCACAATCACTGTCATTGACAACACGAACATAGGCTAAATTCACAGAGAAAAGAGGAAATCTATGAGAACGGTAATCTATAGGCTTGCATGTAAACCGCAGGTTTTTTGGCTGGTGTACCACACAATATGTTAACAACTCCTGAGTACACATACTGGCTGTGGACGCCCACTCTCAATCCTGATGTCATCTATGATCTCATGCTTTGAAGGGTGTGGGGCATCATGGGAGTGTGTGCAAACTCCAAAAACATGAGCTCATCTTATAGACACCCTTGATAACACATTTACTGGAAACGAAACGTTGTTTGCTCGAAGGACAGGCACATGTTTTCTAAAGGCTGTTTCACACTGTTTCAATCAATCAATGTAACATTTTAAGATGGCTTTGTACATGGCTTATCCAATCATATTTCAGAGTCAGAACTATCTGCTATTTTCATGGTTTCTCATTACACACTTCATGCTGGATTAAAATTTGAATGACAGAGAGGAGAATAAAACACGGATCCTTTTTAAAAACATCTTTTTAATAAGGTGCTAAAAACCTTTGACATGTATCTGCACATGGACAGGGGCACGTACGCCTCTCCAGTGCCACTTATGATTAACATTACAGTGACAGAACAGAGCACAAGCACCGACTGCAGCACGGCACGCACATCACAGTGGAGAGGAGGACAGAACAAAGGTCACTGTTAATTAAGGCAACGTTAACGACAGGTAAAATAGTACGAAGACACAAAAAAAGTGGTTCACATGCAGGCTTTTCCCAGAGTAGAACAGAACCGCGCGCGTGTCCAAAGTTCTCAGTTGGAAATCTGTGGAAATGTGGGATTCGGGGTGTCCATAAAATGCTTTTCCTTCCCCGTCAATCAGTTCCACTGAAGTCAACACTAAATCCAACAGCAAGTCTCAAGCCGCCATATTTCACCAGTCCAGATTCAAATGGGCTCCATTTTCATGGTGTTGCTCAAAAATGCAGGAGAGAATGGCCTAGTGTGTGCATGGGACAGGCTGTATTTTAAACTCGAGAGGGAGTATTGCACTCGTTTTTGCATTAGGTTATGCCACAAATCACGAGAGGCTACCGAACATGGCTATTATTGCTGGTGAATAGTGTTGTACTGTTCCAGCACTCCATAATGCCATGTTTAAATGCTCGTCTGCAACAGTACTCCGACATAAAAACCATTAACAATCCCTTATTGTCAATATTAGTGTATTAATCCCTAAAATGAGTTAATAAATTACAGTTAAATGCATGATCGATTGCATCAAATTCTAAAAGGCTTGTGCAACAGACACCTAACCGTGCGCATGCTACAGCTATAAACCAAGCCGTCACATGAGAATGGGATGAACACAAACGGCTACCTAAACATGGATACTATAGATCCCTCATCACATAAACTATGACCTCAGATGCCTTGAGATAACGTGACTCAGAATCGGACTAATGGCTGCAAGGTGATTAGCACAACCCCACAGCGGAGGGAATTATTCTTTGCATAATATGGGTTGATAAGGAAAACAAGAAGACCACAGCGTATGCCACTTATTGACAGTCCTATCACAGGTCAATTAAAGCTTGGATCCCACAGGCTATTGACAAGTGACACTACAGCTCTAAGAGGTCCCCGGTCCACAGACGGCCATAGCTCTCGCCAGGAGTCTAATTGAGCTTGTCTATAATTATCCATTACACTCCCATTAGATGTGGTGAGAGCACTAGAGGAGTCATCACCGTGGGGCACTACCAAATCCGTAAGTAGATCCGCTTGTGACTCTCTATGCAATAAAAGTCCCTTATATTGCGCCAGTATGTAAACACATAATTTTCAAAAATCGTATTTAAAAAAAAAAGTAAAATAAAATGTACAAAAATGCATCCAGGAGGCAAAATGTCAAGTAGAAAGGTCAATATCTACACTTTTTTCTTCCTTAGTCGGGTCTCAGTTCCCGCTGTTAGTTATGATGCTAACACAATGCACTGCCACCACTGCTGGTCATATATTTCACAATTACAACATTTAAAAAAAAACACAGATCCATAAAAGTGAGCAACATGCTGTGTGCCTTTTCTCTGCACTCTGCTGGAATATAGTGCTCATAAAAAGACAAGCCTTCAGTCTTCTGTTGAAAAAAAGCTCAAGTGGTGTGCTCAGACAGAGACAAAGACGTCCAAATAGAGGCGGTCGTACGATTCTCTGAAGAAGAGGAGGAGCAGGAGACTGAAGATGCAGGAGCCTGTCAGACACCAGTTTAACCAGGACAGCTCTGAAAAACAAAAAGCGAGGTTGACTGAGGTTAGCGATGACAGCTTTTAGAGCACCAGATGCATTGTACCTTAATGCATGATAGAACAGACACGTGTTTACCATATTCTTATAAATAACTTCAAGCATACAGAAAATAACAAATGTTACAAAGGGTTATTATTTTTTTTTTTTTTGGTAATCAATACAAAAAATATAAAGCTTAAATTAGTGGAGGGGGTTTTCACATCTCAGCATCCATTAAAAAACTTGCACCATAAATGCTAATATTGTAGGCATGTTTCCCCCCCTTGTTTGCAAGCATAGTGCCCTATGAAATCAATTTTATTTTTTCCCAAATTCCTCTTTAATTTTTCTGGACTCTAGTTGTAATGGTTAAGTTTAATTTTGTTAATCAAAAAAGCATGTCTAATTAATTTAAACTGTGAAACTTGCACAATTTAACAACAATTTATTAAAAGTTTAACAAAAATGATATTTTTAGGGCCCTTTGAAATACATTTTTGTTCCCTCAAATTCTGTTTGTTTGTTTGTTTGTTTTTTAAACCAACTTTTGTGTTTTCCATTTTAATTTTCAGAATTCCATTTTAATGGTTTAATTAAATTTTAATAATCAAAAGCATCTCTAATTAACTGATTTTATAAAAACAAAAACAACTTAATGTTTTATTTTATTTATTAATATTTTATATAATGTGTGTATTATAAATGGTAAATAAATGAAGGCATAAAACAATAATTTATCTTTTAATCAAATGAAAATTAGAACCCTTCCAATTTTTTGGTTAAACAAAGTGCTGCAACAACAGAAGAAATATTGCGTGATTATTCCTTAAAAAGAATGTTTTAATAATAATTTTATTAGTAGTACTGTTATTACATTAAGTCATATATTTCTGTCACAGTTTCTTCAAGTTAAACCAAACTTTTATTTTTTTCAGGTTGCAGTGAAGACCTTTCTGTTTGTATATGATAAGACGATAGTTTTCTCAAATGAAGTGACTCTCAAAGCAACTCTGGAGATTATGTTCTTGTGTTCATGTACTCATACATTACATTTACATTTAGTCATTTTATAATAGTTTATATATATATAAATATTAGTCATACATTATGGCGGCAGAGGCTGAAAACATGCATGTAGTAAACAAAACCGCACGTCTGCACCATTCATTCACACAAAGACACGCAGAACATGCAGGATTCAAAGTAAAATAGTCGTTTTGCAGCTTAATATAAATACATTTTCATTTTTTTTAAATAGCAAGAAGAATGGCAAGATGAAACCCACAAAACAAAATGAATAAATTAATGAATAAATCTATTGTTTTTTCTATTGTTCTGTTTTAGCAGTTGCCATGTAAAATACATTTTTCACAATCTAATCAATTCATGATGGAAAAAATTAAGTCTTTTACATATAATAACAGAAATAATGGCCCACATGTATTTTTTCATTTCACTACATTACAGAACTAAAGGTGGCTACAAACAGCAATTCACATTGACTAAATGCAGCTGGCACTTCTGACCATATACATGTTCATGCTCCAATAACCAAAGGCAAATAGACTAGAGAAACAATATAACTGTCTGAAATACTTTAGCGTATGCGAGAAAGAAAAAAAAGACACACTGTTTCCCACAGCGGCTGTATTCCTTTCATTGTGCAGTTAAAGATGCGAGAGGTTTTACATTAAGGTTGAAGGTTAAACCAGCAATAGAATCATTTCACACACTCTGCACATGAATACTAAGATTCCCTTTAAAAGACGACACTAAAAACAGCATGCGAGAGCTGTGCAAGCACACTCAGGGTTGACATATACAGCAGCGATTCAATGGATGAAAGCCTCACACCAGCTGCTGTGGCTCCGATAGAGCGCCGGGTTGAATATAACATAAACCAGGTCAAACACACAGACCCTCGAGGACAAAGGAAAGAGCGTAACTTAATTAGAAGTGGATTTCAATTTCGAGGCGTCCAGTATCCAGATAACAGGTTGATCAATTGCCCCTGAAGTGAGAGCTGCAATCGATGGCAGGAGGTGAAATGCATGCTGGGTCAGCTGCTGAGCCCATTTGAGCTAAATGATATGATTTAGCCATGCAGCACAGTCAACACACGCAGGTACGGTGGAGGATAGAGCCGTGTCGACTTGAAGAAACGGGAAGCGGGGATTCTTTCCAAAAGCCCCCTCATTAATCAGGCCTTACTATCCCTTCAGCAGTGCCTGGTATAGCGGCAGGTTAATGGAGTTGTGTTTATCTGGCTATTATGTCTGTGCTGCCCGCCCGCCCCAGCTTCATCAATTTAAAAGAGAGAGGTAGCATCACCAGACGACCAGTCTGCGCCGGATGTTAATGAAGAGAGCGGCTCGGCTCAGGTAATCCAATCAGATGCCCCCCAAAAATCTGTGAGTCGTCAACGGTCACCTTTCCAGCGCTAATGGAAGACAGAACTCCAGACACAGCACCCATCCACAGCGCCGCTATGGAGAATACAAAAGAAGCTGGGTTAAAGGATTCGATTTCTGCCACCTTCTCTGGCAATAATGGGAGCATAGCAATTATATCCTGTCTGTCAGTTCACGCAGCAGTCAAACTGTTATGTCGTGTTTCCTTCATCTTAACACCTGACGGCAGAATGCAGAGATGTTATTATTAAGGGTGCAATTTAGCCCGTCTCTTTTCTGCCATCGTCTCAGGGGCTGTAATGTGCTGAAAAGGCCATGGCGGAATGACAGTGTAAACAGGCCACTCACCGTGACACTCGCAATCTCTTACACGAGGAGCGCTGGGACAAAAGCGAGGACAAGGGAGGAGGGATTTGAGGAAACATCCTACAGCCGCTGTCTCATGTCGTGACCAAGCGGCCCAATGTCTTCGCAGTCACCCACAGGGCTCCTCACTTCCTGTCAGGCGAGCTAAGGCGTCGGAGATGGTCCTCTTATTGCTGTAATTATTCTTAATCGGTACCCATTCAGCTGGCAGACTGATGGCATATTTCAGCTCGGTTTAATGTCTCGCTCTGGCCCCAAGCAGCATCGAGAGAGGCTGACTGACAGTTTGTAGGCTCTGTTTTCTCCTTATGAGATTAAATCACACCTATATTTTGCACCTCTGAGTTTGATTTGTTTACCTGGTGTGGCCTGACAAAAAAAGGGGGGAACATTTTCAGTAATTTATTCAAATATATTCTGAATTATAATTTATAAGTAACATTTTTATTACATTTAATTTTTTTAATAAAAAATAAATAAAAATACATTTGATATAGTATATAAAAATTCTGGTCGATACAATAGTCAATTATTTTCATGTTATGGGTGATAAGAAATAAATGGCTGATAATTATAAAAGAGATATTTTGACAAAAAAAAAAAAAAAATGTATGCATCCAAATATTAAAATGTACAGATGAAAAATTAATATTTATTTCAAAATGTACAGATTACAATTAAAAATTTTTAAATTATTTAAAGAATATCCTTAAGTGAGCATTTGATGACAACAAGATATAAATTAGTGCTGTCAAACAATTAATCACGATTAATCACATCCAAAATAAAATATTTTGTTTACATAATATGTGTGCGTGTACTGTGCATATTTATTATGCATATACAAATACACACACACACACACATGCATGTACTGTATACATTTAAGAAAAATATGTTATGTTTATATATTAAATATATTTATATTCACAATATAAATTATATGAATATAACTATATACATGTAAATACATGTAAAATTTTCAAAATATATACCGTGTGTGTATTTATATATATACACATAATAAATATGCACTGTACACACCCATATATTATGTAAACAAAATCTTTTATTTTGGATGCAATTAATCGAGATGAATCATTTGACAGCACTAGTATATATATATATATATATATATATATATACACACACACACACAAATATACAATAATAAACCATGTAAAATTTTCAAAATATATACCGTGTGTGTATTTATATATATACACATAATAAATATGCACTGTACACACCCATATATTATGTAAACAAAATCTTTTATTTTGGATGCAATTAATCGAGATGAATCATTTGACAGCACTAGTATATATATATATATATATATATATACACACACACACACAAATATCCAATAATAAACCATATGGTATCAATATATTTAATTCCTATTAAAAATGACACACGTCAGCTTTAACTCAGGGTTAAGCATGGTGTGAAAAGCTAGGAAACTTTTTTTGCTGAAGGTTTACCTTCACAGGCAATTGAACATTTGCTAAATCGAATGCTGCAAAAAGAGTTTAGAGCAGGAAGTGCACACTCTGGGTCTCTACAAAAGGTTGCTGGACCCTTAATTTTATTATTGGTATTTGACATAAGGGCCACCCTCCGACACTAGGTGACATGGCTTTTACTAAGCCACACAATCAAAAAGGCTGAATGTTCAATCTTTACCAGCTATTCACATGCTTTCAGATTAAGGGTGAATGAACCAACCTTGCCAATTTAAATGGCCAGCTGGGAAGGACAGCAACAGTAACTCAGTGAAGCACATCCCGTTCACTTCATTTTAAAGTGAATACAAAGAAAGTGTAAGACATTTGAGAATGTATCATTGGTCACAGGCAGAAGCGATTCCTGAAAGCACATCAATTCAACCTTGGGTGGCTGAAAAAAAAGAGCATCTGGAAAAAAAAAAAAGAACATCTCTGAGGCAGGCTCAATATAGGAGGAAACAGGCGATTTTCAATGCACACTGAAAACCCAATCTACACCATAGTTCAGATCTATATTAGTAACCGAATGGAAAGAAACAGGGTAATTACAAGAGGGTAAACAACAGAACTCTGTCTCAATAAGGATTCAAGGGTCTTCTAACAAAGAGAGAGAAGGACATGACAATGCATTATGAACCACTCAAAAGTTCATGGTCTGTAGGATTTTTTAAATGTTTTTGAAAGAAGTCTCTTATGCTCACCAAGGCTGCATTTATTTGATCAAAAATACAGCACAACAGTAATATTATAAAATATTACTACAATTTAAAATAGCTTTTTTTATTTTAATATATTTTTACATGTAATTTATTCCTGTGATGGCTGAAAGCTGAATTTTCAGCAGCCATTACTCCAGTCCTTCAGAAATCATTCTAATATACTGATTTGCTGCTCAAGAAACTTTCCAATCAATGTTGAAAACACTTGTGCTGCTTAATATGTTTTGTGGAAACCATGATACATTTATTTTCAGGATTCTTTGATGAACAAAGTTTAAAAGAACAGCAATTATGTAATTTTTTTTTGTATCTATTAGTGCATCTTTGCGGAATAAATGCATCAATTTCTTTCAAAAAAATCTTACTGACCCAAACTCTTGAATGTCAATGTAACTTAATAGGAAATGTGTTTTTATCTTCCTGATTAGAAAGATGAGTCAGAGCTTTCCCTAAGGTGTAAGTGCCCTTGAGGCGAAAGTATGCTTCGGTTTTACGTCATGCGCATTTGCATCATCTGTGCTTTTGCCTAGAACTGACTTCACTAACTTTTGGATCCACTAGACAGAAACACTCACAGTTAAGGCCATTCCTTCCTAGAACTAGCCAATGAGCATGCAAAATGTCAATGGAAACAGCAGAATAGGAAAGCAAAAACAACATCAATGGCTGTGCAAAGGGTTATATTACTTATGTTATGCGAGAGAACGTTATATATCTACATAAAGTGTTATTTGTTTCCCTAAATGTCAAATTTTAAGTGGAACTGCACCTTTAAGAGGTGGATTTTGTGCAGTTTAGTTAACAGAGAGCTTATTATGTCGAGAAGGGCTTTCTGCCAGTGGAAGCAGCGAGAGGTTGCAGGATGGTTCTGATGAAACAAACAGAAATCCATCCATCATCTCTTCAGCGCCTACTCACCGGTTGGCCTAAACAGAAACAAAGTGTTCAAAACTCAATAGCAATGCCAACGCAATAACCATCTATATATAGAGACCTCATTGTGGCACGGTGTTGGCGGGCCACTGCTGCTCTGACAGCCACACAAAGGCAGAACGAATCTCATGGCTTCATTTGGGACCGATAACCCAATCAGATTTGAAAGGATGAGCCAGTTAAGCTCACTCATCTCAATTTAATCTTGTCCAGGGGATCAGCAGGAAGACTGAGGAGTTTTCGCAGCCTGGGAGCCATGCAGCAACCTGCCTGCTCATAAAACAGACACCTGTCAGCCGGTCAGTCAAGGCCAATGACAGAATGGGGATATGAGTGTATCACAGCGGGGATCTGGACTTGACAGCGGTCAGTGTGAACAGAGGTTGACAGCTCCACAATTGATAACATATGCTAATTTCTGAAGAAAATGTGAATGGTGCTTGCCAAGTGTTGTGGGTGGTTTGCCAGGCATAGCTATGAAGTTTTAGAGATGCTCTAGGTTGTTTCTATTTATGTTCTTAGTGTTGGTTAGGTGGTTGCTAAATGTTTCAAGTAAAAAAATTAAATAAAAAATTGCATTGCATTCTGGTTCCCATATTTGGCTCAGGTTTAATACACGTCTATGGGATTTTTTTCACCTGTTTTATTATCCTATTATCATATTGCAAGTATAATTTTACCCCACAATAAATAAATAAACCAATAAGTGAATGAATGAATGACTAAACAAAATAAGCATAAAGCAAATAAAGTCTGCTATTAGGACTATTAATATTATGATGTTATTAAACCCCCTATTTCTCATTGCTGTAATGTATAAAAACAGAGCTTAAAAATATGTATTTATTAGGGGTGTAACGGTACAAAAACATGACGGTTCGGTACGTACCTCGGTTTTGACGTCACGTTCGGTATGGTTTCGGTAAAGCAGGAGGAAAATAAACAAAATATTTTTTTTTTAACTAAACAATGGTAAACTGAACCAATTGTTTTTTTCTTTAAATAAATTCAATTACAATTAAGTTGTCCTTAGGGATAAAAATCTAGCCCAGCTTCTCCTCTAAACTATAGGGAACCCTTTTACATTACTACAAGGTTATTAACAACAGAGCCCAAACGTAAATTCAATTACTATTTATTTTTAACTATAAGAATCAACACTCAAATTTAAAAACTGTATGCAAACGTATATTGCACATAATGCATTTAAAGTTTTAAAATTTACTTCTAAATTATACAATTTCTATTTGTTGTTGAAATATAATAATTTACACAGTGGCTGTCATAACTTCTTTCATAAAAAATTATTTAAACACATTAAATAATTAAGACATCACTAACAGGTAAAGTAAAATATAATGAGTATATAGTCTGATATTTCTCAAAATGCTCTTCTCTAGACTTAAGTTCTCTAGCAAATAACTGTAGAGCTGTAGACAATGAGGGAAATTAAATGCTATGTGACATTTTGTTTACAAGATGTTTTAATGACGTCTTTCTGCGGTTGAAACACTGATTGAGCGATTACATGAGGCATGATTTGTTCATTCATGTTTATTTCACATTAGAACTAGTAGTAAAGAGGAAGGGATGATCACGCTCACTCGTGCTCCACGCTGCCGTTAGAACTGAAGCTTCTATACAGCGATCGGTCACGCTACATCAAAGAGCGCCAAATTTATTGTTTGAATTTCCAGAAAAAAATGGAATGATTTGTTTGGTACACATGCGTACTGAACCAAAAGACCCATACCGGAATACACGTATCGTTACACCCCTAGCATTTATATTACTTTATATATTTTTAATAATACAATAATATAAATATGTATATTACAATTGATGATTTTAAATAATTTTTATGGTGGTAGGATTTGTTTTTCTACCTTTATTTTTACAAATTAATTTTAAATTGATTTTAATTGAAAAAAATAATAATTTGAAAAACAAGATTTTTACAGTAAAACTGTACTGTGTTATAGTAATGAGGATAATTAAAATAAATAAAAACACAATACCAGGCCTATTATGAAGAACTGTGAGATAAATGTGCTTAATTATCCTGAAAATAAAATCACAACCTAAATAGATTACATTTTATTTATTGATTTATTGAGTGAGTGAGTGAGTGAGTGAGAGAGTTTTGTTTTGTGTTTTTTGTTTTGTTTTGTGTTGTGTTGTGTTTTTTGTTTTGTGGTGAAATGTGAGTTTTCCTGGACAGGTTTTGGGAGATTTCACCCATTCGCAACATAGAACATCATTACTAATTAATAATTATTGAAATCATATGCGTTACTTATGTGTATATATATGTTATGCATGTGTTATGTAGGCACATTAAAACAATGCCTCGTGATATGCGGTTTTTGAATGGAAAACACATACGGTTTTGTCCACCAATAGCAAGAGCTAGAATTAAAACCATCACAGACTACCTGTCAATCCAATGACACCTGCCAGAAGTGACTCATGAATATTCAGCTTGAAGCTACTATTTACACTGCAAGATAGGGCAGACGAGTCAATCTTCCTGCACATTTTTCATGTGAACATCCCTACACTGAAAGTTAATCATCATTCAGAAGGACAATGGCATTGGGACAATGACATTGTCCTAAGTGTAAGTCCATATCTCTTCCATATGTTCCTGTTTGTTTAGGCTGAGGGAAAATCTTAGTTTTCTTTGCTGTAAACCCTGCCCTGCCTGTCAAGAGTTAAAATATCAAGGTACCTGTAATGTAAAAGGTGAGGCAAAACAGCAAAAGTCCAGTGAAGAGGTTGCTGAGGAAGGTGACCACTCCGCAGGTGATACCCTCAGGAACAGGGTAAACCGTCTCAATGAACAGCTCCAAGAAGATGGGAACACTACTGTTGATGAAGATACCCACCAGGATGCAGGAGGTGTAGAGAGTGGCTAAAGGAGCAGAGAGAGAGAGAGTGGGCTATATCTCAAATACATTTCTAGAATACTTCCTTTACACAGAAAAAGAAAGAAAACCTTGCAAATGAATATTTGAGGGAGAAAAGCTTTCTAACTCAATTTTCCTGTGCTGGCAACCCCTATTTCAGCGGATTTTACTCTAATTGACTAAGAAAACACTGTTACACCTCATTCTTAAGTAATGATTATTATGAACTAAGTTGGTACTACAAAAACCTTTCTTTTTATCTTAGCACAGCTCAGAGTTTAATGAAGTGTGGAAATTGCATTTTTTATTTTTTGCAAATGTTGGAAAGACAATGTTTTTCAGTATTAAATACGCTTTCATTTTCAAAATTCAATTTAATTAAAAAAATTGGCAAAAAGAAACTTTAGAAACTCATGAGTCTATTGTCATTTTAAATTATGAGAAGCTGTTCCATGTGTGAATGTGCAGTTCTGTTTTAACAGAACATCGCAAACTAGTTCTAACCAGGGCAGAGAGATAAATGGACAGTCCAATGCACAACAAGAAGAGGACAAGCACATCAGAGTCTCCAGTTTGAGAAACAGATCACTCAGCTGTGTCATTGAAAGTACAGGGCAAACACTAGTTTCAAAAATGGGCTAAAAAAATAAAAGTCTGTACAGTAAATGATAAGAAAACAGTATTGTAGATGAATGACTTAACACTTGAGGTGTTGGGTTGCTATGTGAACAAGACTTTAAAACCTATGAAAAATGTTGCATTAAAACATCACCTAAAATACTGCAATTATTTAAAAATAGTCATTTGAAACATTATAAATTGCTTTAATGCACACTAGTGTTCAAAAGTTTAGGTTCAGTAACATTTTTTTTATATTTTTGAAAGATGTCTCTTATTCTCACCAAGGCTGCATTTATTTGATAAAAATACAGTAAAAACAGTAAAATAGTATGACTATTTAAAATAACTATTTTATTTGAACATATTTCAAAACGTAATTTATTCCTGTGATGGCAAAGCTGAATTTTCAGCATCATTACTCCAGTCTTCAGTGTCTCATGATCCTTCAGAAATCATTCTAATATGCTGATTTGCAGCTCAATAATTTCTTATTATAATTTCATTACATTTTTATGTTGATAACAGTTCAATATTAATATTTCCATTTTTGTGTATACCATGATACATTTTTCAGGATTCTTTGATGAGTATAAAGTTCAAAAGAACAGCATTTATATGAAAAATAAATCTTTTGAAACATAAATGTCTTAACTGTCACTTTTAATCAATTTAATGTATCCGTGCTGAATAAAAATATTGTGTTAGTTCCCTCATTTAAAAAGTAGTGTATTTTTTTTTACCAATTTAATGCAACCATAGTGAATAGTGAACAGCATCAAATGCTTTCAAAAATATAAAAAGTTCATAATGATTCCCAACTTTTAAATGTAATTTAGTTCTAAACACAAATCCAGAAAAATGTCTTACATATATGTGTTAATCATGGTATAAGTGAAAGAACCAACAAAGGCACCAAACAGTCAAGGTAGTAATGTGGCCACAATGTCAATCACTGTCAATTATTCCTTACATAACGTTGTATAATGAATATTATTATTTGAATAATATTCACAACATTCAGATACAAGACAAATCTATTTAAAACTGCACTGCAACCCACTGAAATGAAGCAATAAAGCATGAAGACACTTTACGTGTGTCGTAGCAACACTTGCACTGTGGTTACATTTACAATCAAATGGGTTTATTCAAGCATGCTTTGTTGCTTCTAAGCAACAGCATGTCTTGTTGAAAGTCATTCAGAGAAATCATACAGATCGCAGTGACTGGAAGAAAAGCAAAATTACCTAATCACTGTGCAAAAAACACCCACATTTGGCTTGTGACGGGAGTTAATTTGATGTAAAGAAGGACTGGTATCCATGTGGTAACTATAGTATAAGTGAAGGAAATGACAATGGCCCTGTTAAATTAAATGGACATGGTAGGCGAAGGTCCACTGTCAATTATTCCTTGCATAATGATTCCAGCTAGAATAGGTTCTGATGAATTGATGTTGCCACAACAAAGCCTTGTGTTCATTAGCATGAGAGATGAATTGCGAGAGGCATGGAAAGCCACGGCTGGCAATGGAACACGTGTGTGCGATAAAATCTTGCCAGATGGGAGTGATGGCCCATGAGTCTATGAGCTCTGTCTGCCAGGAATTCTGGGAGACAGCAGATAAAAAAAGTCAGGTGCCAACCATAAAATGATAATTGATGGTAATATTTGAGCTGGCTGATCTATAGGGCATATGTTTGTTTCAGGCCGGCTTCTCTAGAGCCCCACTCCCTTTTCCCTTCACTGATCTGGACTTAATGAGTTCCTCTGGCTCCCTCTCACCGATACAATTGCAGCTTGCCTATGCCAACGCTCGCCTACCAGACTCCCTGCGGGGCGACAGTTTTGTGGATGTGCACAAGGCAGAACATACTGCCCTTTTCAGCACAGTATACCTTTAGTGGAGGGCAGGTGAGTAAGCCTGGTCAGGCAGGTGAGAGTGAACCAGGTGGCCGCCAAGGATGCTCCGGCAAACATCAGCACCAAAATTAGCTTCAGCATTCCTCGAATATAGTCAGCAAACCTGAGGGCAAAAACAGAAAACAAAAGAAAGGAGGAGGAGGAGGAGAGAGAAACTTGAATCTCGAGTCATAGCTCAAAGGTGACAGAACAAGACCAAAAAAAAGCTAATTTCAGGCAGACGCGGGTGAAACTTTTTCACAGATGTTATTTTTGGCACCCACGTCACAGAGACGCATGAGGAAAATCTTGTCCCTCAAAGACTTGCCTACTGGAAATGACTCAAAACAAATTCTCACAGTCTTGTATATTTGATCCGCACTAACTTTATCATTTCTGACAAAGTTCTCCACGCCGTTTCCTCTCATCAGACACATTTTAGCACCTCTAACAGGATGGAGATACATAGCAATATCTCTAGGGCATGTTCTTCATCACCTTTCTTCACAACAGAGATGAAAGCCATTATAAAAACACTTTATGGAGAAGTTAGCCGTTATTTGTTGTGTCGAGGTTGCAAGACTCGTCATTAATGATGGCTTATGGGCTTTTAATGTATTTTAAAGTAATTATTCACCTCAAAATGAAAGTTCTGTCATCATTTACTCGCCCTCATGTTTGTGAGTTTCTATATTTGGTGAACACTAATGGAGAAAGTTATCAAGTTATGAACAGTGCTGGGTAGTAAATGTATCAGACTACAGTTTTTCATTGATTGCATGATTATTCACATGGTCGTATGACATGCAGATAAACAGGTATAATATTTCATATTTTTATTCCTTTTCTAAATTTTGACTTGTCATTTAAAAAAATATTTTAATTTGACATTTTTATGATTTAATTAATTATTAGTTTTTCATTAACAAACCCTCTTCATACTTTCACAAACCCCAGTTTGGGAAACTTTGACGTAATATAATATTTAATGCTCTTCATGTTTTAATAACAACAAATGTAATATATTTTATTTCTCTTTGTATTTTTATATCAATATGGTACAAGTCTACAAGATTATCCTATTTAAATTAATGTGATAAACAAGTTAGGTCAAAAGTAGGGATGCACCGATACCACTTTTTCCAGTACTCGCCCGATACGATACTTTTATTTTTGGTACTTGCCGATACAGAGTACCGATACCAATATTTTTATTGCATTTGTACATTTTTAAAATATTGGGTACAGAAACCAAAAGAGTATGTATAATGTTAGTTGGTTAACTTAATTTATCAAATAGATACAGTCAAACCAAAATTTATTCAGACACCTTCAACATTTCTCACATTATCACAGTTTATTCGCTATAGTTTAGAAAATGGTAATAAAATATAACGAACTCAGAGTTAAACGGAGTCAGAACAAATTCAGCTTGATAATGTTACATAACTTTGATAGAAAGGTATGTAGCCTAATGGATGACAATTTACACAACTATCAAGACTTAGTTGGGCAACCCTTAGCCTTAATGACCCCTATAAATGGTCTTATTTTTACGATTTAAATGATGCGTGTGCCAAGTGAGTGAAAATCAAAGATCACACAACAGAATTGCGTGCACACTCGCGCGCTCTCTGTCTCTCCCTACCGTTAAGTAACTAGTGCATTGTTTTACTTACTTGTTTTTGACACATCCGACCGAACTACAAACTATCCAGTGATGTCTGTGAGAAAGGTATATTCACTCGACAAGCTCGCGCATCTGCGCCGCCACGCGCTCAATCTACTCAGCGTGCTTTGTTTATCAGTTCGCGCACATCAGCTATACAGGCGTTAATACGGAATGTTTAACGTTATATTCGTTGCATACATATACTTCTTAGTAGACATCCTTAACTCCATTCTGCTGTCTGTTGTTGGTGTTGTTTAACATTATATTCATTGCATACATATACTTCGTAGACGTATATCCTTAATCTCTAATTACTCCATTCTGCTGTCTGTTGTTCTGTTGTCGGTTTCATTGTCTGAATATGGCACTTATCACATGCTGTGTGGTATCGGCGTTTGGTATCGGGGCATTTTAACGAGTACGAGTATGAGTACAGGAGCTCAGTATCGGGCCCGATACCAATACCAGTATCTGTATCGGTGCATCCCTAGTCAAAAGTAATCTAAAAGTAATCAAAAAGTAGTCTGATTATATTACCTATAAAGTGAAATGCAATGGATTACATTACTAACTACAATTTTTGTCATGTAATTAGGAATCAGTAATGGACTACAATTTGCACGTAATCTACCCAGCACTGGTCGTGAACACAAATGCCGACTAGAGCAAGTCAGGCTTCAAAAACGACAAAAAGCACCATAAAAGTAAAATAAAAATGGTCCATATGACTTAAAAGTTACATTTCAAGTGTTCTAAAGCGAATTTGTTTTGTGTGAGGAAAAGACAGAAATGTACGTAAATATTTACAGATCTTCCATCTATGGCAAGTCAAAAGGTTATATACACATATAAGATGTGTAGACTACTTTTTCAATACATTTATGATGTTTTTTGGGAGTTTGACAGCACAGATTCCATTCACATTTATTATACAGAAAACAGCGGTTAGAGCATTCTTCAAAATTTCCCCTTTTGTGTTCCATGAAAGAAGTCACATGGTTTGGAATACATGACAAATGTTGGGACAAGATAAATAAACAACAGAAATTTCATTTTTGGGTGAACTATCCCTTTAAATTTTAAGCATTAACTTTTATCGGCTGTCAATCACACTTTCTTGACCCCACAAAGCCAGTGCCTTCTGCATTCAAAAAGCAATGTCACCCCTACCTCCCGACTGCTGTCTGACAATTAAAGTCTGGTGGTTTGTCAGTCATCCCAGTGTTTGCCCAACAGCTCAGCATACCTCACACCACAAACCATTAATTGACCTGCGGAGACAGCCTCTTATGATTCACCAGTCTTGTATAACTCCACCGTAACAGTGAACGAGGATGAATCTTTGACGAGGACTTGCGGCTATTATATCCGCCTCCGGAATCGCATCAATTAGAATGTGCAGTTATCATCCCTGCAGCTCCATTTTAATGCATCCATTTTTCTAAAGCATGGACTTGACCCAAAGGGCTGAGCTCTGCGGCGGAGAGCTGGTGGCGTATAATAACTCATGTTAATGCATTTGCTGCACGATTCGTGGCAGAGGGAGGGTGCTGGACCACATAACTCACAGGGGCCCATTAACGAGAGATCACTCGCCAAACGGCCACTAATAGGACCAGGCTGCCGTGGAGACTTAGTGGGGCATCTGTTGCTTCTCTCTGCAACTTGTCCCAAATGAACGGCCGAAGTGAGAAAAAGCAAATACGTAAAAGTGCCAAAGCAACCGGCGGGGTGTGCATTCTTTAATCAGCTTTATGAATCCCCATTCGGCTTGTAGCTCACAACTCATTTGAATAACACACACAACTAAGGCACATCACAGGTTTTCATTGATGTTTTAACCCTATTTGTCCCCCCCTAGCTTAACGGCATTTCTAGTACCAACCCAAAATCCAACGCAATATGACAATTGATTAAATGCAGAGTTTGCCTAATTAAAAGGTTTTCAAAATGCAGAATCTGGCTGGATGTGCTGATTGGGACCCTTCTGCAAACATTTAGTCATCAGGGACAGACAAATCTCTTGTTTTTTGCAGACAACAGTTTGCTCTTTCTCTCTTCTCTACGCCAGTGTCTTAATCAGTCTGTGCGACGTGACCATTTCATTAGCATTTTCACCCACTGTTCATAACAAAAGCTGATTTTAATAAATTAGCAGGAAGATAATAAATTAGCTTTGGGATCTGGGAGGATCCAAAACAGCCTGGAAAAAAAAGCCTAACAGAGACTAAATAAATGTCTTTCCAGCAGGAGCGTAGGAATGACCTGAAAAGTATGACACAAGTTTGACACTGGTTTATATGCCTAGTTGCCACAGATACACTCATATGAGACCATTTAAAAACTAAAAAAGAACCTTAGAAAGTTTCTAGTACCGTCAGCATTCTAACATTTTTGTCATGAAACTTTAATAATTAGGCCTAAAACACTGTTGTGACAAGTATAAATATATAAAAATGCATATTTTCTTCTGTAGTTCGTATCTTCTCTCCTCAGGAAGTTTTTCTTTCTGTCAGTGGCTCGGCACACAAACTGTGCCTGGCATGGGTTACATCATGAATATGCATTATTTTATGTGACGTTTGCCCTAATTGATTTGCTGTAAAGTGGAAGTTGGTAGCCACTGTAGGTTGACCACCTGCCATTCAGCCCACTCCTATAGTGATCTAGTGCTGGTCGCAAAAAAAGTAATAACTTTACCAGCTGTCTACATTTTTTCCTTCGCATGACTGTCAAACAAAACCAAAAAATATAAAGATTATCTCCCAAAAAAGTGTGGGAGACTAATTTTATTATTTATAACAGAAGGGCGATAGTTCAGGCATGTTCAAAACTACATATTTTTGAAATTGACTAGTTCAGTGCGCTGCCTGAATGACTAGTTAGTCTTTAGTTAGCCTTGCATCATTGCACTGGATTAGGGTTGTGTCTTCCAGACACCGATCAGACACTTTTCTTACGGCTTTCTTTTTTTTTACCTTATTAGTATAGGACAGTGTAGAGGAGACAGGAAGTGAAGTGGGAGAGAGAGGGGTGCGGGATCGGGAAAGGTCCTCGAGCCGGGATTCGAACTCGGGACGCCCGTAGCGCATCGTGAGATTGACCACTCTGATTGGCTGTTCAGTTTAGTGAACGAATGCACAACTGGAAAAACAGAAGTGACGCAAACAAGCAAACATTTGATCGGCAAAAATTCAAGATGGCACACAGAGGGCACACACTATCTGCATCTCATCAGTGACGATTTTCATGAAATCTGTATGTGATGAGCGAGATTGGAGAGTTAATTCTTCTCACGAATTCGCAGAATGTACGTGCTCATTGTTTGTTGGTTGTAGTGTTTTCAGTATGTTCAAGAGCAACTTTTTGGCCCAGATGCAGGTAACGCGAGGCGACACCACAGTCTACTTTCATTGCCATTAGTTCTTTGATGTCGTTTGGACCCGTAAGGTGCGTTCACGCAGGATTTCTGCTTGTGTTGTAAAACAGAACGCAGAACAGAACACAGTGATCTTGAGATGCTTTTTTAAAAAGTTGAAAACTATTTTTAACACTTTTCGAACCAACTGAGACACAACACACTGGCTATAGATGCCAGCATCAATGCAGATCAACAATTAAAATATGGAGTTCAATGATTTTTGTTCAGAAATGTTTTGTTGAAGGTAGTCAATTTGTTACAAAAGCGATGCTTTGATGGCTGTAACTGCGGTCTTAAAAGAGGATGAATTTAGAGAGATCTAGCATGCTGACAGTCCCAACAGTTATAACACGCAGTCAGCATGCTAAACTGCTCCCTAAGAAGTTTTAAAAAATCTCTAAATTCAGCCCCTTAAAAGCTCCACTGCTAAAAACCCTCACAATTCGACCTTACTAAATTAAGCCAATAAAACTGAACCCTGGTTTCTTTGAGAAGGAAGGCATACTGATGTGTGACTAATGTTTTAGGGTCTGCTGCTTTTGATTTTCACATCACTGGACAATACATGTAAAGCAAATGCTAACAAATGCTAATGTATGACAACACCACCATCATTTCTCATGCATGGGCCATTACTCACCTCGCCATGGCCACACCAAACACACAGCCTCCAACTATGGACCAGAACCCGATCCAGCCCGCGTCCACCTGTGAGAGCAGAGAAAGGTGTGATCAGCTGAGAATATTCGCTGCTTGTAATGCTGGACATCACTCGTGGAGCAGCTAGATGGATAGTGAGCCAGGGGCATCTGCAGTGTCGATCAGAGAGAAGAATAAACTGCCAGACATCATGCTGTCCACGAACATGTCTATGATGAACAGTCTGGTTCAACAACAGACTTCATAAAACAGATGGTCTATATCAGGCATGGCTGAGGTCAACCGCAGTATTGATAAGAGCAGGAAGAACAAAACAAGTTTCTCTCTGAGGACTAAATGAAATGCTGTTTAAACTTGGTATCTGTTTTTTGACACACACTGCTGTTGAAAAGTTTTGGGTTGGTAATTTATTTATAAAACGTTTATGAAAGAGGTCTCATGCTCACCAAAGCTGCATTTATTTGATTAAAAATATAATTAGAAAATAATATTGAAAATGGAAAATAATACATGAAATATTATTACAATTTAAAACTAGATAAAAATGTTTGTTGAGACAAACTTTGAAGTTGGCTTGAGAAAGCCAGGCCAGAATTTTTAAAAGTTTACAAAAGTTTTAAAAGTTTGACGGTTTTCAGTTTGAAATAGTTTTCAGTTTAAAATAGTTTAGATTAAAAGAATAAAGTCTGAATGTTTTGAAGGCAATACAGTCTCTTAGAAAAACAGATCGAAAAAACAGCGAAGTGGGTGAGATCTGGAAAGGTCCGCGAGCCGGGACTCGAACTCGGGACGCCCAAAGCACATCATGTTGGCACACTGCTCACGAGGCCATCGGTGCCGACCTATTTTCATATATTTTTAAAAGTAATTTATTTCTGTTTAATTCTCAGTCTTCATCATCACATGATCCTTTAGAAATCATTCTAATTTGCTGATTTGGTGCTCAAAAGAAACATTTCTTCATCTATTATCAGTGTTGAAAACAGTTGTGAAGCTATATATTTTTACAGAAACTGTTATACTTTTTTTCAGAATTCTTTGATAGAATAGAAAATTCAACAGAACAGCATTTATTTGAAATATAAATCTTTTGTAACATTATCAACTATTTTATAATGTCACTTTTGATCAATTTAATGCATCCTTGCTGAAAAATAAATAAGTCTTATGCTGACTTACTGATTTTATAGACAGACAGACAGACAGATAGACAGATAGATAGACAGATAGATGCAATGTTAAAAAGTATTTAGAAAAACAACTTAACTGTGAGCGAGATAATGGCTTTATAACCCATTTGTTTTTATGTCTTCTCAGCCAACAAAAAAAACGTTCTAAAACACATTGGAAAAGCAAACACACATGCCTCTTGTCCAGCCAGATCAGAGAAATTGAATAAACTGATCTATAACATACCACATAAGTAGAAAAATAATTGTGGTTGGAAAAAGTAACAGCATCAGTCTTTGATTTGGCTGATTTGATAGCTAGTGATGCTAACAGAGTGATTAGAAAAGCTGGCTCTTTCTGGGCATCAGACTCGATTCTCTAGGGGTGGGGATGGCTGGCTAAGCTCTCCAGCACCAGGAAGGAACAACATCTTTCACTCACTGCACAGGAAAGCACCTTCAGCAAAACTTTGATCCAACAACAGAACATTTCCTTAAGGTCCTTCCAACCTGTGGCTATCAGGATGTACAACTGTATCCTGAGCTGAATTTCATTATGTCTTTGGGTGGATTGTAATGTCAGAGAACCTTGGGCTCATGAATATTACTTCGCTCATTGTTAGATAATCTTCCTAGGCCAGAGTGTCACAGCACCTAATTAATATTCATGAATCATGCAAATTAATATTACAAATTTCATGTTGTTTTGGGATGCAGTAGAGCATCAGCTTACCTCTGAGATGAAATTAAATATTAATTTAACATCAAGACATCAAAAATCATTTAAAATTCATTCCATCCCTTTAAAATTGTCAATAACACACTAAGTTCAGTCTCGTAAAGTGTGATTTGTGTGACGCTCAATTTGTGCATTACTGAACATGTGACATTTATCTGACAGCTTCATACACAAACCCACATTTTACTATTACTTTTACTATGTGTGGAGATTCAGCACTGCACATTTTCAGATTTAACCATCTACTTAAAGGGGTCATAGGATGCTACATGCACTTTTACAAGTTGTTTGAACTGAAATGTGTGTTGGCAGTGTGTGTACACAACCACCCTAAAATGATACAAATCCACCCAGTGTTTTTTTTTTTAATCTGGTTAAATGTTTCCCCCTTTCTCAAATCGAGCCGATCTCAGATGCCTGTCTATGTGACGTCACACAGACGTGAGCTGTCATCAGTCCGCCATTGTTTCACCGCTGGAGCAGATGTAGACAAGAATGACTCCTAAGCGATTGAGGTGTTCTGTTGTTGGATGTAATAATGAACATAGCAGTCGTCATTTACTCCCGACAGCTGAGCCGCTGAACTCGCAGTGGATTACATTGTTTCTGAAGGGAATGCGCCCCTGATCTACATATATGCGTCTATGTTCGCGCAAATCATTCATGATCCAGCCTCATCTACAGAAGAAGTGAGTATAATGTTTTGCAATGAATCTTTGCAAATCACCTTTCCTAATAATGTGCGAATTAGCAAGTTTCACGATGAATGTGGCTAAAGTAAACAGTCTCTCTGAGAGCAGCTCGGAAGAGAGGGGCGGGGCCAGCAGAGCTCATTAACATTTAAAGGAAAATGCTACAAAAACGGCTTGATCTTAAAAGAGCTGTTTTTGACGGGGTAAAAAAAGGTGTTTTTTACACTACCATTGATAAATTTTAACCAAACTATGTTACTTTTTACTTAAGACCCTAAAGAATCATATCAACTTGTGGAAAATGGGCATCCTATGACCCCTTTAACACTGTCAATGTTTCTCTCTGGACAAGCATATCCTCAATAACCGGCAGTAAGGCGCCGCTGCTCTGAGAATTTATACGGTCTGAGGATACATGTGCTGATTAAATGTCCTACTGCAGGGGTAAAAGACATCTTTATCTATTTGAAATAAACATCAAGTGCTAAAACACACAGTAAATCATAGTGCATAATCAGAATGTAATATATTATGTGCGAGCCAACAGAGGTAGACTACATAATTTAATATCAACCGATGGTGATGTGTACTAAAAGTTTGGGGAGTGGGGGGTGGTAGAGATGTTTGGCCCCCTGGTTCCGGTGCCCCTGGATGTATTAATTGCTATTTCCATTCTGTGATTTATGTTTACTGCTGTAACATTGCTATTTCCCCCAGGAAATGAAAGACGTATCATACACTATGCTATTTCCTTTGGCAAAAAGTGTAACTCATGTGTGTCCAAACCATTATTTCAAATTCAAATTTTTCTGTCATGCAGCATAGTGCACTGGAATTGTTAGGACTCGGGACAAGGAGGAGAATGATACAGTGCATGCCCCTATCAAAATGATGTTACATGCGGTCTATGCAGTTTAGGAAATGCTTTGGTCATCACTTGAGATCCAGTAGACTAATAATAACACTGAATCAATCTAAAACAACTAAATTATAAATCGATTCAATAGAAAATGTAGGGTTGGCAAGGCCCAACTAGGCACAATGCTAAATCCATCCCAAAAAACTAAAACATCATACATTATCTGGTGTCAGTATAAACTAATATCATACAAATCACATTCTTCTGGGAATGCTAACACTTTTTCCAGGTATTCTAGACCTCCTTGTTCACTAACATGTTTACACTGGAAACCTCACGGGCAAAAAACATGGCATCACTCACTGAAATGGGTTTTAAATCAGAAAACCACACTGCTACACCTATAGTTTTAATCAGGGCCAAAGAGTTCGGTACACACACCACAAAATCAAGCCCTAGTTTTGAGCAGTTTGAGGCTGCTCTGATAAAAGTTTTTCATTTTTAATGTTTCTCAAACCCAGCAATGCACCTTCTGTTTGATGATGAGTTTCCAAGGTCAAAAGGTGTCTGTCTAATCAGTGCACAGCCATTGTGCGCAGGCTTAATGGCCATTCACCATTAATGAAGCAATTAGACAAGGCTGATTAATGTAGCGGAGTACCATGCACTTAAATGATGCTAATTATTGTTGTACAACTCTACATGCTTACTGCCTCAGGGTTCTACCGTTCCATTTGCAAATTACCGTGTGCGAATGTGAAAACGTATATGTTGTTGACTTCTGACACTGATCAAAACGTAACTTAAATAAAAGCCTCCGAATATAAACTTTCTAAGGCTTCTAACCTCATTTGCAAATTACATTTCAAATGACAACTGGATGCTTTTCATTGCTTTCAATCAAAAACAACAGAGAAATCATTCAGAGTAAAGTAAATTGCTAACACTTTACAAAAAAGTCCCAACAGTCAATGGATTAGGTATCAAGAAAAAACAATGAACATTAGTTAGAATGTTATATAGAATACACAATGCCAGGTTTCCGAAGTGGTCCAGGCTGAATTAATTGTTGAAGTTTAATACTTATGTTTGGGGTTTGGATCAAATCCCTAACCAGAATGTCTGAGAAATATCAATACACTGCTGTCTTGTGAGCACTTTTTATTTTACACAATGCGCTCCTAGAAATCTATATATAATTTCAGTTTGTCTGATAACACTTATTTCTCTTCAACCAAATTTAAATGACCAGGAAAAAAGACCTTCTCAACAATAGTGAAACATTAAAATGGGAGAAGAAAATGCTTGCGGCGTACGCTTTCAATTGTTTTTAAAAAAAGAACAGAGACTTGAATGAGAAGACGGAAAATTCAAATTAGTCTCACAATGGCTTTGGCAGCAGATACATATTGGGGAAAAAGGAAAAAGGCCTTCTATCTTCAACTTGCATGGTTTTCTTTCCAATACCAGTTCAAAGACCACCTAGTTTACCTGAAAAAGAAACAAGACTATCATCTTTGTCTCTGCAAGCCAGTAATTCAGCTGGGCCTAGAATGTAACATGATTGCTTTGGCCCAAAACTCTCACATTTCAGATGCTAATGTGAGGAGGCTGGGGAGAATCAGAAACTCTGAGGTGGAGAGCTCATCTCATTATGCTGTGGTTGGCCCATCAAAGATGGAGTACTTTTGTGAGTATGCAAATAAAAGCGTCTTGAGCATGAATGTTTGATTAGATTCTGATGAGCTCTGGAGAGGGAAAGGATGGAGAGGGCTATCTTCATATGGATAGCTCTGGATTTTCAAAACTATAATTAGATGTTTTTAACAGCTTGTTTTGAAGTTCAAAGTCCACCCATTCAGGCCTGTCAGCTTTTTAACGAGAAAGTATAGAAAGGCAAACAGTTTTTCGGTCAGAGTTTCCAGTCAATACTTCAGTGTGTGTGTTTGTACTCCCAGGGTTAATTATAACCATTTAATAACCATTTAATCCAGGGAAATTACATTTCATTTTAATCATAATTAAACTCATAGAAGGTGCAAATGATATGAACATCTGATAAATGCAACTTAGTTCAGACACAAAGCATACTGAAACACACGGGTGAAAGTAATCAGGTCTTTCAATATTTGGATTAATTCATTACATCCAATTGTTTTATTAAACATTTAACCATCGAAGCATAAACTAGACAACATTCTTTTCCTGAAAACCTTATAATTACCTATAATGCATCATCTAAATGGGCCCAGCATGGAACATGGAATATCTCTTACCTGGCTGACTTTAGCAGGTGTTAAAATCATGTCCAACACTCCGGCCCAGCCAGCAACAACCCCTGTGGGCACGGAGTAGGCGAGTGCTATCATCAGGAAACGCATGTTGCTGAAAAAGCAAAAGCAAAGATGAGGACTGATGAAAACTTTTCGTAATAAAACAGTATGAAAGCACTTTAAGGCACTAGGCTGCATTTTGACTGTGTATGACGCCCATTTCTGAAAGAGTAACAGATCTTTCAGAGCTGTCATGAAACTGAACATCAAAGCTTGTGCATCTCACAGACAGTCAAAGATTGTAGAGTTTCTTTCCTATACTTTAAAGCCTGTCATCACCAAACATTTATCCTACCTTGCAGCCCAGTGACACAAAGATAAAAGTCTCCTGAATACAAAAAAAATACATAAAACTGAGAGCAAAAGCAGATATCAGGGAAGCATGCTAGGATAAAGACATGCCCAGAAGCGGAGCTTTGTCTTACATGGATTTAGCTTCCTCAACCAAATATGATTCTTAATAGGACCCTGCACATTATCAAGCAAGGGGTCAATGTAATATTACAACTTTATTAGCATTACAACAAAATGACGCAAATGCACCAGTGAACTTGAAATTTACATTCTAATCCATTTGCCATTTTAGTAAGAATAAAACTGACTAAATTAATGAATATGACATGATAAAATATTGACTAAATAAAAAAAATAAAACTATGATGAAAAAATTATTAGGGGTTATTTTTAATTATTGAGGTCCTGCAGCAAATGAAAAATTGCCTTTGAGAATATGCAAAGCTAACAGACAGCTTTCTTCAGGTAATATAGACCTTGATATCAAGAGTTTAGCCAAGCAGGAATTGTTTTGAACATCTAATTAAATCTAACTGACCCACTGGGCAAAGCTATGCATAATATCAGTATCTGCATGCTTTTAATAAATCATATATCTGTAGGGCACAGCTGAAATACTTTTACTCTATAATAACATTATCTACGAGACTCTCTAACAAGCATTATTTGCCAACAAATCCTTCTTGAAGCTAAGCAACAACAAAAGTTGCTATGCAGATACAACCATTAATACAAGCACAGTGCATGGTTTAGTGTACTGTCAATTTTGTGGTAATCCTGCCCTGATACAAAAATCCCTTGCTATGAGGGATGTTTTTTCTTCATGTATTAGCATTTTTATGAGCATCTATCCAGTCGCAGGATTGCTGTAGTCAAGACTGAAACAGGTCGAGAATCCCTTCGTGGAATCAGTCTTTATGTGTGGCTTCTGGCAGGCCTCCAATCAATCCCAACCCAATTACAATCACCCACCCTTCTCACTCACTTCTCTACCTATTTTCCCTCAAGTGTCCCAAACAGTGTCTCCCCAACTTACCCAAGAGGAAACGTTCCCCCATAAAACAACAAAGCATCTGAAACCAATCACGAGGGCTCTCCAAAGACGCTTTGTTTATCTTTTGAAGCGGTGTGCTGTATGGAATTTACTTGTTGCAGTTTGGTTCTTGGCATCTGAGTTTCTCACACTTGATTTGATTGAAAGAAAGTTGTTTTATTGTACCACCCTCCTCCAGCCCCAGATTTTTTGGAGCCATCAAGCCAGAAGTATCATCAGCTAAGTGCCATTTGTCCATCTGTGATGGAATCTAATGCCCCAAGATTTTGCAAGATACGGCAATTTTTAGCACCAAATCCATCAATACTAATACCATTCTATCATCACTTTTACTGCAGTAATCTAGCACTGCACATTGGTTCCCGTAAAGGCATGATGATGCAACTGCACAGATTAGACTTTGCCAGGTTTCCAAAAATTGAGATTTAAGGAATTGGTTCCTTTTAAATTAATGAAATTTGAATTGAATTTGCAACACCCAAAAGGAGGCTGAACTGGAATTTGAATTGCAACTGCAGGAGGTAGAAAGTACATTCTGTGCAGTTCAATTCGGTTTAAATTATACTTCCTTTCAAAATTGCAAATGCAAATTGCAATTCTGGATCTTGTTTGTGATTTCATTTCAAATTCAGGAATTGCTTCAGTGTTTTAATACTGTTTTGGATGCTTTGGATTTGGAAACTTCACACAAAAACAGCCCTTGTACTGTTGATTCTGGCTCTATTGAGATTCTAAGAATGAAAGCTGCTTTAAAATGCAATTTTCTCAGAGAAAAGCAGTTATAATAATGTGACCAGGTGGCCAGGCAAAAATGCTAATTATAAGTTATAAGTTACAAATGAATCGGATATCAAATTAATGCACCCGAAGTTACTTGTAGAAATTTCGACTTCCGTGTCACACTACCCATAATTACCTCCAGGTATGAACCACTGGGTGTGAAGGAACTTCTACCATCTACATCCAGTCTATTAACAGGAAAGTGTGAAAGCCAAGCATGGTTTCAGTGAATTGTTCAGTGGCCTTGAAGAGGGTAATCACAAAAAAGGTGTTGACGGAGGACCCTTTCTCCCAACTGTACCCGTTTCATTAACCTCACAGCTGGGGGAGATCGATATCTATGCACCTTTTTTCCACCAAGAGCTTATTTAGATTATGGGATATGAGAAAGCCTTTTTTCCTTTCTTTTGACAAATTTGGGGGAGCCATCAAGCCAGAAGGATCATCAGCTAAGTGCCATTTATCCTTGGCAGGCCTTGTTGGGATCTAATACCTCAAAATGAAGATTTTGCAAGCAATGGTCATTTTTAACAGAGTCCATCAATACTAATACTATTCTATCATCACTGTTAGTGCAGTAATCAAACGCAGGATAATGGTTCCCATAAAGGAACAATGAAATGATGCTCTCTGCAACAAACAAGTCAGGCTCAAAAAAAACTTTGAAGTTTCACCAACTCAGGTGAGCCAAGGACTTGAGAGTTCAGAGACTGGAGGTGAAACGCAATCATGATCACACGACCCCAGTCCGTATCCAATTAACTGTCCCTGTAGACTAGCTGTTTTACAAAGCTCTACCAATCCACTCCTCCATTCAGATACAAATGTGAGACGGCTACTGGAACTCTGCCTATCTGTGGGACTACAGACAGCATTACAGTCTCAATGGGGTGACTTCGTCCATTCATGTTTGTTCTTCTTTTTGCTTTCAGCACTTCTGTGAGTGGGAAAGTTCTGGTGTTCCTCGGAGGGGGTCGAACTGCAGACTCTCTACAACAGTGGAAGCTCAACAGTCTTTTCCAGTTCACAGATTTCAGCCAATTCCTCTAGTGTTGATGTGAGAGCGCATTCAAAGCAGGGCTGGCTTCCTCTGATCTGTGAATATCGCAACTACCCCAAGCGTTGCGGGTGCGACTACATCAAGAGAGTTCTGACTAGCTGTAAAAATGTGCCGCTGTGGTCACACTGGCCTTCATGGACTTCAGTGGGTTACTAAATGTACAGATCAAGATGTTCTATTTATTAAAGATGGTCAGCATGTGCCATCATAAGGCTTGGTAATTAATCTGCAGGGAGAGGATCTTGTCTTTGATGTGTATTAAATGACAACTGCGGCATATGGTGAGTGGCGAAATGACAAGACCCTCTTCATTAAGATTCTCTTTTGTAAAAGCAATGATAAAACTTCAGAGACCGTGCTGAGATCAGGGAGACAGAATGTGGAAGTTACAAAAGGCCTAAAATAACAGATGTCCATTGTTGTGTCCAATGTACCCAATGCAAAATCTCTTGTGAATGCCAATGAAGAACACAGATATTCACATTATATATTTAACTAGAATCAGTATTGTGCTCAGGTTTTTTCAAGGTTTGAAATCCTTGCACGTGTTTTTTACAGGGACAGGAGATTTTTGTTATCATCTATTCATTCCACAAAAGAGAAAAATTCAACAAAAAAATCTTACTGGTCCCAAACATTTAAAAAGTAGCACATTTGAACCATTACTAAAGCTTTTTTCACAATGTACAGATGTGCAGTGTGTGCTGACAGTTGGCTGGAAGTGATGGTTCGTATCGTTTCACTTCAGTAGACATTCATTCATCAACTGGGGTTATATGGATTATTTTTGTGTTTGTTTTGTATAGTTTTTGAAGTGTCAACTTTGAGGGACCCATCCACTCACATTATATAAGACTGATTATTTTCCTAAAAATCTGTTTGTCTTCTACAGATAATAAAAAAGTCATATACATCTGGGATGACATGATGGTTAGTAGATGAGAGAATTTTCCTTTCAAATACAGAACTTAAGCCATATGAACAACTTATGTTGGTTCTTCCATCCTTTTTGCGGCTTGACAACTGCGATCACCACCCATTTTTGTTGTATGGAAAATACATGTTAGATATCTCCGTTTTTCTTTTATTTACATTGAAAGAGAAATTTTATTTTCAAATGAACTATTCCTACTTCCTAACCTCCGTTCTTTTATTCTCTGTTCAAACCAGTTAGAGCAGTCTGGTAAGGGAGGACTGTGGTTATACCTCAGCAGTCTGCAGATGCTGCTCCTGTAGCTGAGACGTTGGCTAGCTGCTGCCACGCTGGGAGGGATGGGCGGCCTGGAGGGGAAGTAGAACAGCACAGCCACGAAAAGTGCTGCAATCATCCCAACCTCTGCAAGTTCACAAAAATACACAACATTTATCATGCAGCCTTGGTGTCAACATCAAATCTCACAAAGATTTTACGGATTCGGACTTAATCTATCTCTGTTAATTAGAAAAAGAGCTTAAAGCGCCTGGCATTTCACTGCAATTTTCAGACACTAAATTCAAATTAATGAGAGAGTGAGCAAGAGAGAGTGGTATCCAAACCAACATCATTAACGGTCATTAGATGGCTCACATTAATCTAGAGTTAACCATGAGTCTAGCAGGTTTATTACAATCCTGTAGGGGGAGGAAATGCACAATGAAACAACTGATCAGCTCATTAACCCTGGTCCAGAAAAAGCTCCTGCTTTCAAATGTGCTCATCCAGTGCTGGAATTTGTGACAGTGCTACCAAGTTCATAATTGAGCATTGCTGTGGCCAAGCACAAAAAAACCTGTTGGCACACAGTATCTCAAAACCGGATGCACTGACACTGCCAGCACAGTCTTCAGGTTGAGTTCCTAAATTTTGCGTCCCGCCTGGGCGCTGTCCACATGATAAAATAAGTGCAGCTTCATTGGACAGATCCCATTTTTATTCAGCTAGTTAACTTTTACAACATCGCTTCTATAAATCTGCCTTTTCTGTCATAAAATACAGACTTATAAAGCAGGCTTGGGTACAGGTGGGCGATATGATAAAAAATCTTATCACAAATGAACAATTTTATATCGCACTAATAGTAGATATCAAGATATACATTACTGCTCAAAGGTTTGGGGTCAGTAGGATTTAATGAAAACTTTATACTTTTAGCAAGGACACATACATTTGAACAAAAGCGACATTTTGAGTAAAGACATTTATAATGTTACAAAGGATTTCTATTTCAAATAAACGCTGTTCTTTTGAACTTTATATTCATTAAAGAATCCTGAAAAAATGTATCAGTTTCCACAAAAACACTGAGCAGCACAACTGTTTTAATAATTAATATTGTTAATAAGAAATGTTTCTTGAGCACCAAATCAGCACATTAAATTAATTTCTGAAGGATCATGCGACACTGAAGACTGAAGTAATGTCTCCTGAAAATTCAGTTTTGACATCACAGGAATAAATTACATTTGAAAATATTTAATATATAAATATGTAATAATATTTTAGAATATTATTGTTTTTACTGTGTTTTATCAAAGAAATGCAGCCTTAGTAAGCATACATTAAGATATTTCTTTCAAAAAAAAATTTTTTTTTAAATTAAATCTTACCAACCCCAAACCTTGGAATGGTTGTGTAATTGCTGGAGATTCAATTAAAATGATTTTTATATGAATTAATCATGTGGTAATGCTTATTTTTGGAAATAAAAAGATGAATAGGTCTCAGTGCAGTGGCATCAGTACGAACATACATGGGAACTCCTTCAGTATGGTTTAAAATCTGGTTCAGCAAATGGTACAGCAAAATATCTGCCAGTTGACAGATTTTACTGTCACACAGTATATACTCTAAAGACTTGGCCCTTCTCTAAGGTTTTATTAGACTGGACAGATCACTGCATCTCCTCAAGTTTATCGTCTTCTAGGAGCGTGTCAAAATCCGGTGCATGTGGCTGCATCTTGATGCCCAATGTTGCAGTAAGTGTCACAATGACCTCTAAACTACTAACAAATCGATGTCTTTCCTGTGTACTAAAGTACCGGCAACATCTTTCAACTTAAACAGAGGCAGAGTATCAATCTATTATTGGCAAGATTTCTTTCTCTCTCTCTCAAAATGTTTTAATTTTCTGAATCAGTTAAGCAGAACAATGTGAGGCAATCTTTATAGCGAGGTAAACGCAAACCACGTTAAGACGTTTGATTGTGGTATTTGGAGATCCACCATGGATGGCTTTCTTGTGATTGCTTTTCTGTATGGCAAATGCTTAAAATAATATAATATTGATTCAGAATGAATGCTGTTGCTGGATTGCCAGCAGACAATACCGTACCTGCGTAAAGAACAAACTGTATCCTGTCTCCTATGTGGTTTTGGTTCCAGTAAACGGTGCTTCCCACAGTGCCATTGGGTGCAGGGACAGCCAACGGACCAATCAGAAAGGCACAGGCTGACCCCAGGTAGCCGATAAGTGATGCAATAGCGGTGGCTGTAGCTCTCTGATCAGGAGCAAACCAAGTAGTAGAGAGCAGAGGACCGGCACTCATAATGGTAGGACCAGCTAAACCATTCAGAAGTTGACCTCCATGAATCATCCTGTAGATTTGAAAAAAACGGGATATATATATATATATATATATATATATTACATTTTAAAGTAAATAAATAAAATATGAGTGAGCTTTTTCCTGTAAAAACCACCATCACAATGCTATGTTGCACAATGCTGGCTTTCCAGGGCATTGTAATGCGGCAGATAAAGTGATATGAGTGTTTTTATCATGTTGCTATGCCGCTGCTAGGGTGTTTTGGGTGGTCAAAAAGGCCACTCAAGTATCAGTGATATTTATTATTCATATACACACGCAAGCCAGACAAATGTCTGAGACAAAGATGTAATAATTAACAATTAATATAAAGAAATGGTCTAAATGCAATCACCTTTTTGTTGATTTCTAAACACCAATCGATGCTCTCCTACATATCTATCAGAGGTGACGTTTGATATCAGGGGAAACAAAAGAGCTTTATCTGTGAGACAGGATGACTGAGTCCCAGCAGGGAGACTTGTGATAGCCTAACTGCCTGAATAAACGCTGCAGTGCTTGTCAACAGAATAGATCTTCAGCATTGGTGAAGATAGAGAGTGACTGAAACATTTTTCCATTTTCTACAGCCCAGACGCACACCAAACCAGCCCGAAATGGTCTTTTTTCCTTCATGGTAATCACTGTCATAAAGATCAAGAGGCTTTTTGTGTCAAGCTTTTTCTAGTTTCATCCTAGCAATTGTCACAAACTGAACAAAATGTTTTAAGGTCTATTCCTGCGTTCATGAAAATGTGAAGTTCTTTACTGTGGCTTGTCAAAGAGTGTCTGAGGGACGGTAAAAAACCTCTGGAGATGTACTGAGTGGAGTGGATTGATAGTATACTTGCCCTAGATTTAAAACCAGCTCACAAGTGCATTTGGTTTGGTCAGTACACACCATACACAACATTCAAACAGCCTTTTAAAGATTCTTGAACCTTACAGTTTGCAAAAGACTTTGGTTCAGTCATTGATCATGCAATGCTCTCCTCAATTCCCAATCTAATACAGTGTGAAAGCTCTCTCGACTATTCCTTTCTCTTTTGTTCCAGCATGTTGACATCTGATTCTGCTGAAAGGTGTTTATGCATTCCTACCGCATGTTTCATGACTGGACATCAGCCCCTGTGACACTATATTCATGCTAAAGCCTGTGTGATTTTGCTTCTAATGAAATGGGCTAGAATGCACTGTGGGATGTTTTTCCCCCCTAAATAAGAAGCAGCAGTCTGCATTTGCAGTGATTGCAATCATTGTGATACCCCTCACGTAGCTCATAATTGGATCGTAGATGATTCTAAATCCTACACCTTGAGCTGATCATTATGACTTCACGTTTGTCAATTATGGTTGGAAACAATGCAAAATTGGCAATTCTGGTACAAAGAATGACTACAGATATTGCCTACTATATCAAGGCCAATGAATTCCAGTCTGAATTGATTCTGTTAGCCTATTTTAATTGAGCAATAAAGTGTAAGAGGCTGTACTATATTGTGATTATAATCAAATACTCAGCAGAGTGCCTTTAACCCTTTCAGCCATGACTATATGGAAAATCAAGCATAGCCCCTTGAGAGAGTCATAGATTATTTCAAACAGCTACTACATAAAAATGATGCACAAATGTTTTATTAGGCAAATTCATTATGTGCCATCTTTCCACTAGATGATTCAGACCTTGACATGTAAACGAAGGTTAATATTTGGCCCTTATGGGTCCTGCAAAATAATAAATCCAGCAATTGGGTGTTTCGCATTACAACTACTAACTACATTATGTATTTTGGTACAGCTGTAACACTGTATAGACCAATCACCATCCAGGACTTATTAAACTATCTGTTTTATAATATTAAGTTTGTGTAAAAACTTGCAAATGTTGGACTTTCTATGTCAGTGACTGTTAACTGGTAGGTCTAACCTGAAAATACTGCAAAGTGTAAATAATATAACAAGTCACACTTTAAGGTCAAATTATCGCTATTAACAAACCATTAACTATGAATTTTGCCTCAATAAACTCCTAATTTGCTGTTTATTAATAGTTAGTAAGGTAGTTGTTAAGTTTAGGTATTGGGTAGGATTAGGGATGTTGAATATGGTCATGCAGAATATGTGCTTTATATGCACTAATATGTTAATAATAGGCATGTTAATAAGCAACTAGTTAATAGTGAGAACTGCTCACTATATTAAAGTGTTACCATATATTGCAACTAATCATATAACCATGCATAGTTAGGATAGCAACATAACTAAGCTTCAGCCTGTAGAGGAGAAATAATTTTGCACATTTTTTTATTTTTGATGTATCCAAATCAAACACTACATTATTCTGGTACAAACAGATCTGTCACTTGCTAGAAGCTACTCAAATTATTCAGATGCCAGCAAAACAAAATTACCAAAACTGTATCAAGCAAAACACTGTTTGTACAAAACACATTTTTTTTTCTGCTGTGAATTACTGGCTGCAATCAATGAGCATGAAAATAATCATTAAAAAAAATATATATATAGATAAATTTACTAGGAACCAAAATTGTCAGCTTTCCTATTCAACCCATGTTGAAGTAACAGTATTCAGTCAAAAGACTGCCTGACTTCCGTTCAGTTTGGCTTGCAAGGAACACTGTGTCTATGTCACTCCTCACCACCAAGACAACAATAAAAAAAAATTGACAAAGGCATTGGCCTTTGTAGCCAAACGGCTTCGTAAAAAAATGGATTTCATTGCTGCTACTTTCTGACATGATTGAATCTCAGCCCTTCTGACACCACACCAAGCTTCTAAGTAAAAATTTCCGTTAATAAAAGTAAGAAAAATCTAAGAAATCCATGAATAGGGCTGATTACAGAAACAGTTCACACAAAAAATTTAACTTGCACTATTATTTACTATTCATATTAGTATTATGTTGGATCACTTGATCTCCTGAAGCAAAATTTGTGGAGAATCACTGTCATATGATCTTTCTTCAGGTGACAATCCGCTAAACCTCGAATTTGAATCAAAGAAAGAGATGAAAAGGGAGAAATGAGTCTCACGCATGGAGAAATGTGAGGGCAGTGGAGGAGTGGCAGTTTAGCCTTAGATGATTCTGATCCGGCACGGACAATGTCAGGGAGGATTCTCTGCTTTCTAATGAAACTGCTGGGCTAACAGGATTTGAATGCAAATTTTATAACCCGAGTAACATATTTATAAATGGACTGCTTTATACTGACCAAAACAATAATGGTACTGCAAAATATTCAAACTAAACGTCAAAGCCAGAATAAAAGAGAGACCTGGGAGAATCTAAAACACAGTGCCAGTCTTAAAATCACAGCCAATGGAGACATTATATATATGTGTCCTTATGTTAAGTTACAGAGGAAAAAAGTAATAGTATTCTATCAAAAGAATGCCTGAAACTTCTGTTCAGTTTGGCTTGCAAGGAACATGGTGGTTTTAACCAAATGACTCCTTACTGCCAACAAAACAATAAAAAAATTGACAAATGCACAACGGCACAATCTGCTGTGACCACAATCGCTGTTGATTTGAGACTAAACATTGGCATTTGTAATCAAAAGACATTGTAAAAAATTGAATTTTATTGCTGCTGCATTCTGCCATGATTGAATCTCAGTCATTCTGACACCAAACCAAAGCTTCTAAATAAAGATTTAGGTTAATAAAAGTAACTGAAAATCTGAAGGAGAAAAAAAAAAAGAATAGGGGTCATAACAGAAACAGTTCACCCAAAAATTGAAATTATGTCATTATTTACTATTCTTTACATTGTTCCGAACACATATGCTGTTTTTTCCCCACGGTACACTGTTCTTTTGCATACAACCACCATTCATATAGTGATTACAAAGTCTGTCCCCCAAAAAAACCCATCATAAAACAAGTCTATTGGACATGTATTATTTTTCTGTCTTCTGAAGCAATAAGATAACTTTGTGTGAGAACAAACCAGACTTGCTCATTTTGAACTGCTGTATAGAAAAGAGTTCTTCCAAATTATGTTACACAGAATAAAATAAATGAATAAAAAAACAAAAAAAAACAAAACAATATCATTTAATTTAAATTATATAATTTTAAATAAACATTATTTATTTTATTATAAAATAATAAACATTAAAATAATACTTTAAAATATTAAACAATTACATCATTTTTTAGTTAACAATTTAAACTTTTATTTTTTATCAAAAACACTTCCAGGATAAGCCATCTTCTAAACTGAGCTAACTGATGTCTGATGTAGTCCAATTTAGCCTTACACTGTGAACTCTTAAACAAAACAGCATATTCAGATCAGAATGACTCTTTCTAGTGTGGCATATCAACCATCACCATCAGTCACATGCTGGATCACTTGATATGCAAGATGGTTGGTCATTACCTTTCCAATGAACATCTTTTTACACTTTATTAATGCAAGTGCTGACACCTTGTGGTAGTTCTATTCACAGCTGAAGTCACCAGGTCATGCATGATGCATCACGTGCATGGTCTCCTACTTCCTCTGTGATCTAAGCTTAAGGCTTTCAGTAGCTCTCCATAAACCTGAGTTTTAAAGTTGCAACACATGTATCTCATGACACAGGCAGTGTTAAACTCTGTGTGAGTCATGACGTCTGTGAATAAGTCCTATGCAACCCACCAGTAACTAATATACTTTCTAGCACCTGCTAATTTCAATAAAGCTGAGAGATCTATACATAGAGAGAAGACAGTCCATTGAATAATGTCTGCTGGTGGTGTAAATGTACTTAATACATCATAAGCTGTAATGGCTTCTAAAATATCAAACACACAACATAGAGTTGAGTCACTTTATATGAATCAATAGACTCGACACATTAAGTGCCCCCATGTTGAAATCAGCCATTACATTAACAGTCACTGCAGGCAATAGCTGCTTGCAATGTATCTTTGTGTTTAAATGTGCTTGTGGTGTAATACATAAATATATAAAACAATCAACATAACCTCTTCTGTCTCTCAACAGTCCTGAAAAGCTTTTCCTGTTATATATCAAGCAAATGCACAATTTTAGATTATATAACTGAGAAGGTCAATGTGCCACTGTGAGTTCTAGGATTGTGGGAGCTGTGAAACTAAGCTATGTAGCCTTATTTCATTCAAATAACTAATAAGTATATATAAAAAAAAAAACTAAAACAAAGAGTTAAAACAGTAAAATGAATGCACTGTTCGAAAAATGTTTTATGTGTGGAAAAAGAGCTATACAAATGTGGTAATGGTGTCTGGTGGTCATGTACTTGTATGGAACTGGCCTTTCTAACTACACACGTTTATACAATAATGTTTTAATACAGATGGAAATAACATCATACAGATACAGATAAGTATGCCAATCTGCATGAATTATATGGTACTCTCAGCAGTTCTCTAAATTCAACAAACCAACAATTTTCTTCATGCCTTAATAATAAAATATGATTTATGCTCACTGATGTCCTATTTTAGTTTCGTTTTGTCAACTGACTTCACTAACAAAGCTACACGCTTCTAACGTCGTTTAGATAACCTTGTTTAAATGTCCATCGGTGGCGTAGTTAACTCTTTGTCAAATATATAAAGTAATAATAGAAAAGGTTTGTTTCCTTTTCTAACAACTGCAATGAGAAATTTGCTTTAGTTATTCATTTATGTGCTGATGTTAACCACATGTGAATGAGAAAGCTTAAAGAGATAAGAAGGAGCGAGAGAAAATGGAAAGAGGACACAGAGCACAGAAGAGGACAGGAACATTCAATTTTACAGGGAAAAGAATCCTAATCTAAAGCAAACAGAACGCAGTCGTCCTGTTAAAGTGTATTTAAGCAAATGAAAAGGTCACATCTTTAACTTGCAACAGTACCATGTAACTTTGCCAATGAATAACACACTTTCTCTTATCATATGTTGCAGTGGATTTTAAGTCGCCATAAATATTCTGAAAATAAGTGTTCGACATAATTTATCATAAAATTGTATTATGAATATACTGTCCAACCTGCTCTCTAGATAGCAGCCAAAAACTACATCTAATCACACAAACAGAGCTAGGTCACGGAAGCCATAACCAAACAATAAAATATTTGCCATTCAAGTCATCAAACGCAGACTGTCAACAATATTTCTTTGGATGTGCAAATTTAGGCCTCAAACAGTATTAAATATTTAAATGACCAAATAAATCTGCCACCAACCTAAAGAACCTGTATCAGGAAAAGACTGATGACAACAACGTCTGCACAGCATAAAGTACTAGAGCAGATTTTTTTCTAAAGTACCATTAACGTCACAAAGCAACAGAAGATATTTTTTGTATTGTATATCCTAGGTTCTATCCATCGGTTGTTGATTGGTTGGAAGCAGAAACGACTGGAGAAATCCTGCATACGTTACTAGAAAAATGTCTGCCGTTTCACCATTATTTTATATTTTTAATATGCCTATACACTTTCACTCCAAAGCAACATTTTATACACAGTGTGGCATCATGCAATAAATGCACTTACAATGTTGGGCAACATGAGACGTTTGGAGAACAATCTCTGATCTTCTCATGAATTATCACATTGGGAAATTGAGGAATTGCATAATTATGCAAGTGAAAAGGAACCAGCATCGAAAGCTAGTTTTTGTTGAATAAATGATGCATAACATTGTGCAACACAGTCTTACCAGCGTCTGTAGTATAGGTCTTTGAGAGGAACACTTCGTAATGCTGCGCCCAGCACCATGAAGAATGCTGACAGCAGCAGAGAAGCTCGCAAACCTTTAGCACAAGACAGAGAGGAAGGAAAGAAGATATATCAGAGAGATGTGATATCTTTTAAGCTTTGATTAACTGGTGAGATTAGTTGTTGATGTAGATCTATCCCCAAAATACCAGCAAATTATGCACGACTATCACGAAGATATTAGGATTAGAAAATCAGATGGGAATGGTTCTTTTTTTTTAACCATCAAAAATAATTAAATATGATTTATTTGTGACAAAACAAATGTTTGAGTCCAAAAGCCATAATGAAACTCCATGAGCATTTTTTCTGGATTCATGCATAGGAGCAGAAACTTGAACTTTGGAAACATTTTTGAGTTTAATATAGAAACTCTGGCCTGTGGTTTTCACAGCCTGTGGCAATCGCTTTCGTGTTGAGAACAAAAGGGAAGGTGAAATGCTCCCATTCAAGATAAAGAGCAACAAACGTGGTTGCAAGTTTTTGCTTAAACATTTACATAAGAACATACCCTTTCTTAGCAAATATATCAAATAAAGTGCACTAATGTGTTAATAAACAGAACTGGAGTGTCGACTAGCTGTATAAGCTAATAGAAAAAGGAGTTAAAATGTGGAAACTGAAGACATTTGTTTGACATTATCAAGTCTTAGAGATAGCTGAAAATGCCTTATTTTCAGGCAAGATAACGTGAAAAGTAGTGAGAAAATGTTAAAAACAAAAGCATTCTGTCCTGTTTGACCAAATGCTCTTTTCTAAATACAAACCATGTGAGTGAAAATGTCATTTTCGAGGCTCAAAAAAGATTCCTCATAAGATAATCTTATCTAGGGACAGTTCACTTAACAATCACAATTCTCTCTCACCCTCATCTCCTCCAAAACTGAAATGCTGTTATTTTACCATATTAGAACAATTCATATTGACCATGTAATAGGCTAAACACTAAAAAAAGTTGTCTATATTTAATCTGAAGACATACAATAGCTTTTTGTTAGGAAAAGACTGAAATCAAAGTCATTAATAGCCAAAAACACAGACCGAAACACCGGTTAATGCATCTCCAGTGAAGCGTTTCGGCTGTGTCAGCGCCGACTCTGTGCACACAGCGTGGTAAGTTAAAACAACATGTCATCAGCATGGACTAACCCCACCGTAAGGATGGTAGAGTAGCAATGTGTAACATTTGTTTTGCTGAATATCAAGAGATGGCTTTACTTTACTACAGTGTGAACATGACACCATCCTGAACAGCATACCAAGTTCAATTACCCAACTTTATTTTTGGTGTTGATGAAAATGTTCAGTTTCAGTTAAATATTCATGCATCACTAGAACCTATAGTTTTGGGTGAGCTCCAGCAATGTATTTATTACACAGATACTTTGTGGTCCTTTAGATGGTTCTAGACCAACGTAAGCATTGGTATAGAATACATCATTTAAATACAAATAATAGAAACGTAGGTACAATATATCTCTTATATCACTGCTGGCAAACAGTGCAGCCAAATTCTCATGTGAACTTTATGAATTGAGATTCTATAAATCTGATCTATAAATCTGGTTTCTTTCAAATAAACAATATAAGATATATGAAGTACTCAGTACTGAAATCAGCTAAGTGACAGTATATGTTGCACAAGTTGAAAGTTCTGTCTCTCCGGCCAGGAGATAATAAAAGGACATAATTAATTTCCATTTTCCATTTACATTCAAGGTCTCACGTTCCTCAACTTAGAAACTCATTAAATTGTTATGACAAGTATGAATACAAAAATGGCATCCTCTGACAGTCAGGCTTACATAAAGACGTATGTCATATGATGTTAGGGAACTGGTTTTGTGGCCTGACATGTGATGAGCTACCTTTTTAGCATTACTTTTTTATTTCACCTGACATAAGGAGTCTTTCTGTGCAGTTTGGGGTTCATCTAACTGACATAAAGCACTGTATAAAACATAATTATTTCCAAATTTTCTAGTTTTTCCAAAATTATGTACTTTGAGAGAATTTCACATCTGGCCACACGAATGTTAAGTCTGTAGTAGATATTCAGATATTCAAAAAGTACTTGGTACATGAACACTTTTGTATGAAATATATGTTGTTATAAAAAACACAATGATATATAAATAGGACTGTTGTATAGAATTATGATTAAGGGTCAATGGTAAATACAAATGATACGTATAAAAGAGATATGATATGAGATATGAACAACTGACTAACGAAGCAGAGCTAAATTTTGTTAATAAAATGAATTTGTGCATACATGACACATTGAAATGATCAAACTGGCTCTGGCTATTATGTGTAATTAGTGATATTACACAATCAACAAATCTGTCCAAATATTGCCAGATGTATCTATTATCATTTGTTTGTATTTACAGATATGGTTGCCATGATAAAACTAACATCAAAACAACTCACCTTTCTTATCCATCAACCACATAAACAACAGCCATGGCAGGTAACCCACTGGACCCCACATCACCAGCACCGCGATATCTGTCGATGAGAACTCAAACACATGCTTGGCTGAGATCTGGATCGGGCCCCAGGTGTTCCACACAAGTCCTTGCATAAAACCCAACAATGAAAACATGGTGAGAACTAACCATCTTCTCCCGTACACCCTGCTCAACACAGGCTGTGTGTTTGTCGCCGGCTGAGATGGAACCAGCAAAGGCTCCCTTTCTCCTTCGGTGCTTTCCACGGCACCCATTGAAAAGACGTGGGATCACGTTTTAAAATGCCTTTATGCTATCCGGCAACGTCTATAACATGCCACATTAAAAACTAGGGCAGTCGTTCAATTGCCAGCTGCCCATCGAAACAAAAACAACCGATGACACTCTCAGCTACGCTCCAAACTTTAATGCGCATGCGCTGCGTCTAGACGGAATGACGTAACGTATGAAACCGAAAATCTTTGTTCTCCATGTTGGATCAACTATGCCATTAACTTAAAGGAGACTTCAGCACTTCTGTTGAGCCAACATGGCCGCTGTTTCGTTTCCCGTGTGTTGAGAGAAAAAACAGCGGCAAGTCTCACGTGAGTTTTGTTTACTAGCTGGAAAATGGGTTTTAGGTGTGCTTACATGTGTGTAGATTCAAAATTGTAAATATTTGCACTAAATTACAATATTATGTTTATGCAGAGGCTGCACATGCACAGACTATGTGTTTTTACATTTTAATATGAAGTTGTCAGTTCTATTGATAGTTGTCACTTAGTAGCTGATTTGACCTAGATATGGTTTTGACTTTGTGATTCACTTGGGTGATTGTGATGTGTTTATCTGAATGCTTTAAAATTAAACTCCTACAGTTTATCTGAAAGATAATATGTGTGTTGTACAAGACAAAATCCACTCGTCTTAATCATCCTTATCTCATTATTTTTATGTAACGTTAGAATGGCTTCAAAACCCTTTACCCCAGAAGAGGCCAGGAGGATTGTCCAGTTTCTACAGAAACCTGCTGTGTTCCTGAACATGACCACAGACTGGCCAGCATTGCATTGGACTGTGGAGCATCTGTCAGCTTGCCTTACAGAGAGGCTTCGATTCCGTATTGGGAAAAGGACTGAGGATATGGGTAAGCCACAAACATCACACAGCCTCTCATAGGTATTAACAAGATCATCAGAGTAGAAGAACTCCATTTGCCCAGGACATCATTTTTAAACATAATCAGGACATTCGTTTTTAAATTGAACTGACAGGTAGTTATGTGTTATGGTGTTACTGACAGGAATAAAGTAAGCGTGGTCAAATTTGGAAGTGTAACAGAAACAAAATTTTAAACATGTTTTGTGGTAGAGGTAGTGTACTTAATGGTAGAATATTGTTTTTTAGAATGCTTTGAGTAACTTTTCCCCAAGAGTGTCAACAGAAAACATAGTAATTTCTGTTATTAGATGCCCTCTATCACAATGTGTAAGTTTCCTTTGAAGGAAACTTTATTTTGAAGTTAATTTGTGACACATTTACAGCAAATGAAACCGTGTGATACGAATAATTGCCAGAAGTGTGAAGCGGTAATAGTTAGCCTTGCAGAAACCTTTGCTACCAGTGGAGGCTTTGCCACTTCAGGTTCCTTGGCACTTCTGGCAAATAGTTATGGCAAACCAGTCCATCATAACTGTTAGACTTTTTACTGAAGTGAAATGTAAATATGGGAAGTGAGTATGAAATGTCAAGCAGTGAAAACTGTACTTCTAAATGTTAAACAACATTTTTCAGTAATAGTTAAAAATGTAAATATGGTGATTTAGTATATATGAAAAATAAACCATTTCTATGTTTAAGTAACCTCTTACAAAATACAGTTCATTTTAAAGTATTCAAAGATTTTTCCAGTGTCCATTTAGAATAAACCCTCTTGCAATAATCTATTCATTAATTACCTTTTGCTTTTGTTTCTCTTTGTTTGCACCAGCTCCTCTTTTTGAAACAGAGTGTTTCTACATTGAAGCAACCATTAAAGAGTTTCTGTCCTGGACTGCCAGTGAAGATGAAGCACTTGTTGGGCCATTTTCTGACTATCACTGCAAAGAATTCTGGGCTTATGCTGATTACAAGTACATTGCCCAGCTTTTTCAGGATAAACCTGCCATGTTTCAGGTAATCCGTGCCAATTACCTTCCATTAATTTAAAGAAATATTTCATATTTTTATTTTTTAAATATTTATTATTATTATTAAGCAATATGTTGTATTTAAATATATATTCCTATAATTTATTAAACTCTATATTTTGCCATTGCGCATTCTAGAGTATTTATGACTGCTAAAATAAAAATAAATGGACAAGACACTACTCTTTTCATTTTCTCCCACAATCAATCATACTCTCAGACCTCATCAAGCACCACATTAACCCATTTGCCTTTTTCCGCATGCCAGTTATGCTTGACAGCGACCAATTTTTCATGAAGTGGTGCTCTACAGCACATGGGGCACGTCAATGACATCAGCTTTGAACAATAAACACAGTCGAATATTCATTAGTATGTATTGCCTTGTCTCCCGAGGATGCTTACCTTTATTTTATGAGCGCTCTGAAACTGTTTATTAGCCTACAGTTGTTACAACATCTCATGAAAAATGATCACAGCACTAGGAATAACAGATATAAAGAGCAATTAATAAATTATTGCTGTTTTATTAATTCAGTAAAACATATCCTATGGCACATCGTTGTCATTCTGTGGACATTTAATGATATTTTGTCAAGGGAACAATAACCTAATGTTCATTTCTAGCTTTCAGTTTTTGTAAATCATAATAAATGCTTATGAGGTGCCAATATTCTCCCTGCCAGCCAGGGCATCGAGAGCAGACAAGGGCCTCTCTTAAATGATGAATAGGGTAGTTTGAACATTGCTGAGGGCTTGATTACATACCATCTCATTTACAGACCCCTGGACATGGTAATGTTTTCATTATCTACCTTCAAGGCCAGCATCTCTGAGTGGTTCTTGTTTGTTATATTGAAAAGAATTGACATCAGTAGGCGATCAAATTGTTTTCTGTTCTTTGTAAACACAAACATTATAACTGCAGGATGTGGTGTGGTCCGACTTTGGCTTTTCTGGACGAGATGGACGAGACAGCACACTTTGGATTGGGACACAGGGTGCTAACACTCCTTGTCACATTGACTCTTATGGTTGCAATCTTGTCTTCCAGATCCAAGGCAGGTATGAACCAGGTTTAGACTAGGTTTACACAAGTTTTGAGGCAAAAACTCTGAAAAACAGGCCAGAGGTATTAGCATTTATTTTGTTTTCAATTATTCAGTTTGCTAACATTATTCTATTTCAGTGTAATTTTAGTACCATTTATGTATTTTTATTGTATTTATTAATATTTTGAATTGGCTTTTATTTTTATATATAAAGTTTTCAGTTTAATTTTAGTTTAGGTTTTAGTAGTTTATTTGCTTTTGTCATGTTTATTAAGTTTTTTGATATTTCTATATAGCTTTCATTTATTTTTATTTCATTTTAGTTTTAGTAATTGTATTACTTAGTAATTTACTTAAATGACTTCAGCTATAACAGGCTAGATCGATTTTAAAGGTTTTCAATTAAAAATTTATATTTTGTTATTGGATTTATCCATACTTTCAGTTGGTTTTTATTTTATGTTTTCAGTTTTCATTTTATTTTTAGTTAAAGCTTTAGTCGTTTTGCTATGTGCTTTTGTCATTTTATTCATTTTTTATATTTCTATTTAGCTTTAATTTATTTTTTATTTCCTTTTTTGTTTTAGTAATTTTATTACTTTAACTTAAACAGGTAACATTTCTAAGGTTTTCATGTAAAACATTTTAATTTATTTACATAACGTTTTTTTTATTGCAGCTTTTTTAATTAACAAAAGCAGTTTTTAATGGTTTTTAGTTTTAGTTTATTTTAGTTAAGACATCTCACCAATCCATGTTGTGTAAAAGACAGTGAGAGAATGTTAGATTTAGGCTTTTTTTTCTATTTACAGACCCTAGACCTGTCACAGAGACAGGTGTGATTTCTCAAGACGCCTGTTTCAGTGAACTCTGTCATGTAGTAGGTAGTAGTAAATTCAATTTAAGTATTTGACATATGTTAGAAACAATATGCCCTCATAAATGCCCCTGAAAATCAATGTCACCATTTAATAAACGAGAACCCATAACACTGCTATTTTATTGTATTTCTGTGCGCCAGTATGAACTCTTGACTTGATGAAACTAGTTTTTGATGACTGGCTGCCAATAGGCCCCTGAACAAGATAAGCCCCAGGCAAAACTGCCAATTTGGCTTATTCTATGAAGATGGTTTAGAGCAACACCATGTGATTCCTTCAGATATTGACAAGAGCTCTATCTCGTCTTATGTTAGGGTTCCTGATCCAATCCTGAGCTGTTGAAAGATAGCTATTTATCCTCTGCATTCAAAAGAGCGAATGGGAAACGGAAAGTGCAGTGATGTGTACAGCTATTGAGATATGTTATTTGCTCCATTGAGAGAAGCAGAACCTGACAATGAAGAACCTTCTCCTCCATCTTATCTCTCTCTGGAGCTTGTCTTGTCTCTGTAATTGCTTATTGGGGCTCCTCGTATCAAGATAGCCTGCCACAGAAATCATGTTATTGTATAATATCTCCTGCGAGCAGGTCCATGATACTTTGAGAAATCTATAAGTATTCCCATTCATTTCAATGGCAGTTGCTTGGTTGGCACCTTAAGTAAATACATAACCTGCATGCTAAAAATGTTTCACGCGACATTTTTCTTTACTAATTCAATTAAAGCTAATTCGTCTAGAAACTGACGTTCTGGCAGTTGTTTGTTTCACGCTTTTTACAAGCCACCGAAAAACTTTAGCACTGATAAAAGTTTCTATAACATAATGACATATTTGTGACTGATATATTTATTTGGGCACAAAATCTCAATGGTATTTCAATAAAGTCATTCTTTTTGCAGAAAACGATGGCATCTCTTTCCTCCCGATGACACACACTGTCTCTACCCAACACGTATACCATACGAGGAGTCCAGCGTGTTCAGCCAGGTCAGCGTCGTCCAGCCAGACCTGAAGAAGTTCCCAGCATTCAGAAGAGCTCAAGTCCACACTGTCACTCTGCAGCCTGGTCAGGTAGGCCAATATGACATTTTCTAAATACACTTCTTGTCAAAAGTTTTGGACACACCTACTAATTTGGTGTATCTGGTGCATCCTGGGATGACATCTTAAAAAACACAAAACAAAATTTCTAAAACTAAAATTAAAATGAAAACTAAATGTAAAAATATGTGTACAATAATAGTATATAAAAATACTAAAATAACAGTGGGATTACTTAAAATTACAGTTTATTTATAATTT